ATATCTCTGTGTCCTAGTGCTGCGCTGGAGTAATCGAGACCCCATAGTTGTCTGACACAGTAGCAAGAGGGGCACTCACTGAGCAAAGCTGACAGACTGGTGTCTTTAGGTTTATATTCTGTACCTTGATTGCTCCCCTCCCATATCTTTGACCAACTATTTATCTGATTTTAATCTTGCAAAATACAACCAGGTGAAAGATTGTACACATAGCCCTTTGATTTCTGCTAACTATTGTAAAATATGTATGAACACAGTGTCCCTATGACCCATACGGTCAATGTCTACACATTGGTGGCAAGAATTTCATGGGGTGGTGGGGGTTGAGGTTAAGTCTCAACAATAGGTCATGGACGTATTGTTTAGAGCACTTGCTTCTCAAGTGAGAGGACCTGGATTTTGATTCCCGGGCAGGATAAAATATTAGGCAAGTTTCCTTACTCCACAAGCCTGTTTACCTAGCAGTAAGTAGTAGATTGGTGAATAATAATCCTTTCAAAGAAAAAACATTAATAATTTGGTCACGCCTTTGAGACGTCTCGAAGCGCTTTGCAGAATATATTGTAAAGTGAATTGACTGTATATCTTGTGGACAAAACACAGTAGCCAATTGCACACAGCAGTGTCTCACAAACCGCCGTGGATTGAGTGACCAATTGAATAACCGAGCCGATTAACCACTATGCAACAGGACTCCGTAATGCAGGGATTTGGCTGATAAATCGTTGATTGTTGACAGGGATCTACTTAAGTCAATAACCTCAATGCCTGGCGTCAGGTTAATGTTTATTGAAGCTGGTCCATTGTTTCTGTTGCAGTCATGAGGGATCGGTTAACATGGGCAATGAGTCCTATTGAAATGAGTTTGGCGGCAGAGGCTGGCAAACTGGAACAAATTCTCCCTAGCCCAGCGCTCAGTGTAACCGGACGCTCTCCGGAGCCTGGTCTCCCGTTGACCCCGCAGTGAATTGCCGCTGAGTAATGAACAAAGCGATGTGTCGCCATAGCGATGCTACAACGATCCGAGCGCTAAGTCACATTCGCCAGTTCTCTGTGCGCACACGTTACGTCTGTAACCTTCCCGCCTCGCTCTCACCTCATTTTGACTAACGATAATTATTAATAACTTGCTTCATTTAACCGATGCCCCATCGTTGCCTGTTCAGGTGGACGTTAAAGATCCCACGACGCCATCGGAAAAGAGACTCCTGGTGTCCTACAATCCCCCACATTTAAAACAAAATGGTCATTCACGTCATGGCTGTTTGTGAACTATTCCCGTGCGCAAATTGGCTGAGTTCGCCCAGGAAATGTGTGTCAGGCTGCCTCAGTGGTAGCACTCTCGCCTCTGAGTCAGAAGGTTGTGAGTTCAAATCCCTTATCAGGATGTGAACTCACGTTGTCTAAGATGACATTCCAATGCTGCACGGGTTGGTGGGGGGAGTTGCATTATCAGAGGCGCAGTCTTTCGGTGAAGCTTTAAACTGAGGTCCCGTCTGCCTTTTCCAGGTGGATGTTAAAGATCCCATGGCGCTATTCGAAAAGAGAAGGGAGTTTCTCTCCTGGTGTTCTAGCCAACAATCCCCCAAATAAAATTGGCCATGAGTTTCATGGCTGTTTGTGGGACATTGCTGTGCACAATTGTGCTGTCACGTTTGCCTGCAAATACACAATCACTCCATTTCACAGTAAATCCTGTGATGCGCTTTGAGACATCTCGATTGCAATGCACTTTTGAGTGACTTTGAGGAGCTATTAAGACTGCCACTTCTTTTCTTGTTAAATTATAAAGCAAAGCACAACTTGACATTAATAATAGTTTCAATAATAATCCTTGCGTTTCATAAGAGTTATCAAATTTCAATGATGTCTTAAAAGTGCTTGTTAGTCGATTGGCAGATCACTTTCTGGGGGTAATAATCCCTTCAAAAAAAAATGTGGTCATTCAATCCATCACTGTTCGTGGGACACTGCTGTGCGCAATTGGCCTCGGCAATTCACCCAGAAAATTAACTTTACGGTATATTCTATGAAGCACTTTGAGATGTCTCAAAGACATGATAAGATGCTACATCAAATGCAAGGATTATTATGATTATTATTATTCACAGAGAGGTGTATTAAGGTGTAAAGACTGTGTATTTTGTCAGCGACTTTTGCTCGTACATACATCTTCCCCTTGCATATGTATCAGTGTTGTTTGTTAGTTTCTGAGTTTATCAGTAGTCTCTGTACTGTACCTTTGCACCTGCACATGCAGTGCTGGATTGCACCCGTCTTTTTCCTTCCCTTGCACCATGAATCGCCTGCTTTCGATCTCCGAGCTTTTTATTCGATTGTTTGTTTGACTGCACAACGATAAGTAATTAGTTCAGGTACTTGGCTCAGTCTCCTCTTCTCCACCTTATATCCTTTTAAATGAGTCTGTGGTTGACTTCCCCCACTCCGAGTCGTAGGAGAATAACTAACTTGGTGGTTCTGAGTGACCCAGTACAGAGGAATCTTTAGTTAATTCCTGTCTTGTGCAACCACTGTAGACCCTGAACTCTCAGGCCATAGCACTGCAGTTATTGCGAGGCCTTTCTGCCTGATGAGTCCACAAGGTTTCTTTTTAAAAGGGAATTAGACAGGAGGCTTGGGAAAATAGAGGAATATTGACTGGCGTGGTGAGATTGGAACAAGATTGTGTGTGTGTGTGTATTATAGAGAGAGATAAATGTGTGCTAATATTTGTTATTGTCAGAGGCTGAGGTTGGATTAATGCTATAAAAATAGTACTTGCATTTGATACAGTGCCTTCAGCTCGTTGATAAGGTTCAATGCACCTCGCAGAATATTCTGCAAAGTGGATTGACTGTGAAGTTCGTGGGCGAAAAGACAGTCAAAAGAGTCCAGACAAGTCACCTGAGTAATGGGAGATGTTTGGGGATCGGAATGAAGAGCTGGAAATTGGGGTTTAACGTATGTCAGCCTGGACCACTGGTAGCACTTTTGCCTCTGAGGCAAAAGGTTGTGAGTTCAAGCCCCACTTTGGGACTTGGAATCACATAGACTTAAGATGATACTCCAATGCAGTGCTGGGGATGTGTTGCATTGTCGGATGAGATGGTAAACTGAGGTTCGTCCGTCTGTTCAGATAGATGCTAAAGATCCCATGGAACATTTGGAAATGAGAAGGGAATGTCTTTCTCCTATGTCTTGGCCAACAATCAGCCAAGTAGAATTGGTCACTCACTCCATGGCTGTTTGTGGGACAATGCTGTGTGCAACTGTCCCCTGTGTTTCATTCACAAAATGCAGTCAATCCACTTTACAGTATATCCAGTGAATCACTTTGAGACATCTCAATGGCGTGATGAGGCGCTATATCAATAATAATAATAATTATTATTATTATTAAATGCAAGGATTATTATTCTTATTAATATAAGTGGCTGTTCCACGGACTCAAACCACGGGGTTCAATGGCCACATCATGTGCTGAATGTCGCTAATCATTTTTAAAAAAAACAGTACTTCGAATACTACTTGCATTTGATGTGTTGATGTAGCATTTGGCTGCCATGTTCTCCCACAAAATATACAGTATGTTCTGTGAAGCGCTTCGAGATGTCTTGAATATGTGATAAGGCACTATATGGTGGAGTCCTGTAGCTCAGTGGTTGAGCACTCGCTTTGCAAGCTAGAGACCTGAGTTCAATTCCAGGCAGGGCGAAACCTTGGGCAAGTTTCCTTACTCCACACGCCTAATAATAATCCCTCCAAAACCAAAAACAATAATAAATTGGTCATTTTCAATCCACGACTGTTTGTGGGACATTGCTGTGCGCAATTGGCTGCCGCGTTCGCCCACAAATATACAGTCAATTCACTTTACAGTGTGTTCTGTGAAGCGCTTTGGGACGTCCTCCCGACGTGAAAAGTGCTGTATCAAATGCAAGGATTATTATTATTATTATATCAAATGTAAGGATTATTATTATTATCATCAAGACATCTCAACAACATGATAAGCTCTATATGAAATGCAAGCATTACTATTCTACAGTGTCTTCCATGCCAGAACAATGTCTCAAAGTGCTTCGTAGGATTTTACTGTAAAAGTGTGTTTTGTAGGCAAACTCTGTTTAGACTCTCGGATTATCATTCCTCTGTCTCCTGGTCCTGTCATGACTTCATGTACGACAGGAAACGTTCCTGCCTCGCTCTGTCTCTTTCAATGGACAGTGGTCAGACAGTCACTCTGCTGTCCGGTGTGATCTAATGCTCACCCTTTCAAAAACTCCTAAAACGTGTGCTTTTGAGTACAAGAGAGTTTCAGTTGACTAAAGTCTTGGGCCCATTTGACTTCATCCTTTCAGAACACACACGCTCTTGTCCTCCTATTGCATCAGTGAGCTGTTTTTTAATGACTTAATGGGAATCAATTTCAGCTGATGAATTAACTCACTTTTAAAGCTATGCTAGCCTTCACATTTCACAACGCTGAACTGTGCCCTGTTGCCCTATTGCCTTGGCATATCTCAATGCTTTATTTCTTGTTTACTCTCTCTGTCCCATCAAAGCTTTGTGTGTGTATCTACACAATCTTGAGATTACTTATGAAACTGTACGACCACAGTTGAATATTTCTCTACACTGTCTCAAGGTTCTCGCCTTAGGATATAGTGCTGATCATATAGTGCCACTGGATCTTCAAAGTCCACCTGAACAGGTAGGCGGGACTTCAGTTAAATATTTTGTGGGGCCTGAAAACTTCTCACCAGGGCAGCTGATTTTGGCCTCCAACTATGTCTTATTATAACGATAATAATCTTTGATTTTGATATCGCGCCTTATTGAGTCGTTGAGACATCTCAAAGCATTTCAATAGAGTGAATTGACTGCATGTTTGGGTTGAAATTATTATCATCCATATTATTAATATTATTATTGTTATTTCTTGGTTGTTTTCTTGGCTACTAATTTTAATTTAATTTTGATTCCCTTCACCTTTTCAGGGATCACCCACACAATGACCGCCAACCAGATATCCAGTGTGGACGATGTGGCCGAGAGGATGGACGACGAGATGCCCTACAGCGACGACGAGACAGATGATGAATTGGAAAGTCACACTGGCATCAACGAGGATTCCAGGCAAAACTGCACCAACCAGCAAACTGAGGAAGCCAAGAATGGTAATTCCCGGGCTTGTACCCTCAGATAAGGTTTATTTGGGCAGGAACACAAGGCTGATCTCCTGTGTTTGAAGGATGAGCCGTGAGCAATGACTGGATAAGAGAAGCAATTGCCTGCCGCGTATTGCCCACAAAACATACAGTCGCTAAACTTTACAGTATATTCTGTGAAGCGCTTTAAGGTGTCTCGAAGCCGTGATAAGGCGCTATATCAAATGCAAGGATTATTATTATTTTTATTATAAGAATTGGACTTATCAGTCTTTTCAAACGAATAGCGTAGTGGTAAGTGCGCTCGACTCACAAGCGAGAGGACCCAGGTTCAAATCCCAGGCAGGGCGAAACCTTAAGCAAGTTTCCTTATGCCACACACCTCTGTTTACCAAGCAGTAAGTAGGAACCCAGCTGTTAGGCGATTAGCGGATCTCTTTCCGGGGATGATAATCCCTTTCCCCCCACCACAAAAAAAATGTGGACATTCAATCCACAACTGTTTGTGGGACACTGCTGTGTGCAATTGGATTGCGCTTTTGTCCACAAAATACCCAGTCAATCCACTTCACGTTTTGAGATGTCTTGATAATAATAATAATAATCCTTGCATTTGATATAGCGTTTTTCACTTCTTCTAGCTGTCCCAAAGCGCTTCACAGAATATACTGTAAAGTGAATTGACTGTATATTTGTGGGCGAACTTGGCAGCCAATTGCGCACAGCAGTGTCCCACAAACAGTCATGGATTGAAAATGACCAATTTTTTTTTTTTTTTTTTGGAGGGATCATTGTTAGGCTCTGTGTGGAGTAAGGAAACTTGCCCAGGGTTTCGCCCTCTGCCTGGAATTGAACTCAGGTCTCTCGCTTACAAAGCGAGCGCTCTAACCACTGAGCTACAGGACTCCACACCTGTGGACTCCACACCTTGATGACATAAGAACATAAGAATTAGGAACAGGAGTAGGCCATTCGGCCCTTCGTGCCTGGCCCGCCATTCAATAAGATCATGGCTGATCTTCTCACCTAACTCTGATTATCTGCCCTATCCCCATATCCCCTAATCCCTCTATTTTTCAAGAATTTATCAGTCTCAGCCTTGAAAATGTTCAAGGACTGAGCATCTTCAGCCTTCTGGGGTAGTGAATTCCATAAGTTCACTACCCTCTGAGTGAAGAAATGTTTCCTCAACTCTGTTCTAAAAGGCTGACCCTTAATTTTAAGACTGTGACCCCGGTTATACATTCTCCTACCGGGGAAACAGTCCCTCAGTGTCTACTTTATCAGCCCTTTAAGAATCTTATAAGTTTCAATAAGATCCCCCCTAATTCTTCTGTAGAGAATACAGCCCTAGTTTATTCAGACTATCCTCATTGGTCAGTCCCCTCATCCCAGGAACTAACCGAGTGAATCTACGCTGCACCCCCTCTAGGGCAAGTATGTCCTTTTTTTAAATAAGGAGACCAAAACTACACACAATACGCTCGGTGCGGTCTCACCAAAACCCTATACAGTTGCAGCAAGACTTCCCTTCTCTTATATTCTAAACCTTTCGAAATGAACGCTAACATGCCGTTCGCCTTCTTAGTTGCTGCTGCACCTGCAAACTAACTTTTTGGGACTGGTGTACAAGGACACCCAAATCCCTTTGAATACTAACTCTATCTAACTTCTCCCCTTCCAGAAAATAATCTGTTCTTTTATTCTTGCTACCTAGGTGAATAATTTCACACTTGCTAACATTGAATTCCATCTGCCACCTACTTGCCCACTCCCCGAGCCTATCTATATCTTGTTGCAATCTTTTTGCATTATCCTGAGAGCTCACTCTGCTCCCTAGTTTAGTATCATCCGCGAATTTAGACACATTACATTCAATGTCCTCATCCAGATCATTGATGTAAATGGTAAATAGCTGAGGCCCAAGCACTGATCCCTGTGGCACTCCACGAGTTACATCCTGCCAATTCGAGAATGATCCGTTTATCACTACTCTCTGCTTTCTACCCGATAGCCACTCTTCTATCCATGTTAATATTTTCCCATTAATCCCGTGGGCCTTGATCTTGAGTAACAGCCTTTTGTCTCCGGAACATCGCCAGACTATGGCACTACCTCACCCCTCACGCTGCTGAAACCCTAGTTCACGCCTTTGTCACCTCAAGGCTGGACTATGGGAACTCTCTCCTCGCCGGCCTTCCCGCCACCTCCCTCCACAAGCTGCAGGTCATTCAGAACTCTGCAGCTCGTGTACTGTCCCGCACCAGGCTTCGCGACCACATCACTCCCACCCTCGCTCGCCTCCACTGGCTCCCCATCCCCCAGAGGATTGATTTCAAGATCCTCATCCTCACCTACAAGGCCATTCATGGCCTTGCTCCCTCCTACCTCTCCAACCTACTATCCCCCTACCTACCTGCCCGTACCTTCCGTTCCTCTGGCTCCGGTCTGCTCCACGTCCCCCGCCCTAACCGCCCTACCATCGGTGGTCGGGCCTTCAGCCTCTCAGCCCCCAGGCTCTGGAACTCCATCCCCCAGTGCCTTCGCCTTGCTTCCTCCCTTTCCTCCTTCAAGGCCGGTCTCAAAACCTTTCTCTTTGACCGTGCCTTCAGCTGCCCTCTCGACTCTCTTCCCCCTCCTCGCTCCCTCCCTTCCCTCACCCTGACCATTTCCCCCCTGCTCGGGTCATGACCCAACTGTGCAGCGCCTTGGGACGTCCTCCTGACGTGAAAGGCGCTTTATAAATGGAATCTTGTTGTTGTTGTTGTTTTGTGTGGCACCTTGTCAAATGCCTTCCTTAAATCCAAATATACCACATTTACTGGTTTCCCCCTTATCCAACCTGCTGGATACATCCTCAAAAAATTCTAAAAGTTAGTCAAGCATGACTTCCCTTTTGTAAAGCCATGTTGACTCTGCCTAATCTTTTTATGGTCTTCCAGGTATCCCATAACTACGTCTTTTATTAAGGACTCAAGAATTTTCCCTACAACTGACGTCAAACTAACTGGTCTATAGTTTTCCCTATTTTCTCTCCCACCCTTCTTAAATAGTGGAGTTACGTTTGCAATCTTCCAATCAATGGGAACTTTTCCAGTATCCACAGACTTTTGGAAGATTATAGACATGCCATCCACTATCTCAGTAGCCACCTCCTTTAAAACTCTCGGATGCAGGCCATCCGGTCCAGGGGATTTATCGGTTTTAAGACCCGACAATTTACCTAGAACCATCTCTTTACTAATGTTAATCTCCCTAAGTTGCTCGCTAACATTGTCTTCTTGGTTCTCTATTTTTGGTATGTTTCCGGTGTCTTCTACGGTGAAGACTGTAAAAAAAAACTTGTTTAATAACTCTGCCATGTCTTTGTCCCCTATTATAATTTCTCCAGTCTCTGCCTGTAATGGACCCACATTCACCCTCGCTAGCCTTTTCCTCTTTATATATTTGTAAAAACTCTTGGAGTCTGTTTTTATGTTCTTTGCTAGTTTGCCCTCGTAATCTATTTTCTCCCTCTTGATCAATTTTTTGGTCCTCCTCTGTTGTTCCCTAAAGTTCTCCCAATCCTCGGGTTTACTACTCATCTTCGCTGTTTTATAGGCTTTTTCTTTTGATTTGATACTTTCCCTAACTGCTCTAGTTAGCCATGGCTGCACCACCTTTCCCATGGCATTCTTATTCCTCAAAGGAATATGTGCTCGTTGGGAATTTTGCACTATCTCCTTGAATGTCTGCCATTGCTGGTCTACCGTCAAATCTTTAAGTTTAGTCTCCCAGTTTATTCTGGCTAAATCCTCTCTCATACCAGCAAAGTTGGCTCGATTTAAATTGAAGACTTTTGCTTCAGACTTAACTACTTCCCTCTCTAACTTAACGCTAAATTCCATCATATTATGATCGCTTTGCCCGAGAGGAGCCTTAAGTTCCAGTTTGCTGATCAGCCCTGTTTCATTACACAAAACAAGGTCTAATATGGCTTGTTCCCTGGTCGGCTCCTCAGCATATTGATCTAGAAAATTATCTCTAATACATTCTATAAACTCCTCTTCTATGTTACCTTTCCCAATTTGGTTGTCCCAGTCTATGTGCAGGTTAAAATCACCCACAATTAGTGTCTTTCCTTTGCTACATGCTCCACTAATCTCTTGATTTATACCTTGAGCGATACTTTGACCACTGTTTGGGGGTCTATAAACTACTCCCACTATAGTTTTCTGCCCCTTGAAGTTACGTATCTCTACCCATACTGACTCTACATCTTGCTTTTCAGATTTAAAATCTTTCCTCTCTACTGTTTTTATCCCATCCTTTATTAGCAGGGCCACTCCCCCTCCTCGTTTACCACATCGCCTATCTTTCCTATATACCACGTAGCCGGGAATATTCAGTTCCCATCCCTGATCACCCTGTAACCATGTCTCGGTGATGGCTACTAGATCATACCGGTTTGTCTCTATTTGTGCAACTAATTCATCTATCTTGTTACGAATGCTTCGTGCATTCAGATATAACGCCCTTAATTCTGACTTCCGGCTATTAACCCTATTCACCAGCACTCTATCACTGTACTTCCTTTCCCTGCTTGACACACTTTGCTCTTCTCCCTTGTTAATCTGCTCTCTTGCTTTTGTTGATCTCCAGTTTAACTGTGGTGGACTATACTTTACTATGTTTTTACCTTCCCCCCCCCTTAGTAGTTTAAAGCCCTTTCTACCTCCCTATTTATTCGCGTAGCCAGAACATTTGTCCCAGCCCTATTTAGGTGGAGCCCATTCCTTTGGAAAAGCTCCCATCTTCCCCAATACTCGTGCCAGTGGCCCATGAATTGGAATTCCTGCTCTCCGCACCACTCTTTTAGCCAGGCATTCAGATCTATGATCTTCTTTTGCCTGTACCAATTAGCTCCTGGCTCAGGTAACAGTCCCGATATCATCACTTTGGAAGTTCTATTCCTTAGTTTAATTCCCAATTCCCGGAACTCGCTCCTTAACTCGTCCCTACTGGTCCTACCAATGTCATTGGTCCCTATATGTACCATTACGATTGGATCCTCTCCCTCATGCCTCAAATTTATCTCCAGCCCGGCGGTGACATCCTTCACCCTGGCCCCAGGAAGACAAGAGTCTTCTTGTCTCCCTGCTACGGCTACAGAAAACTCTATCAGTCCTCCCAACTGTCTCATCCCCAATAAGAATTACATTTTTAACCGCCTGCACAGGGGTCTTGGGGTCAGTTTGCACGTCTTCCTCGCAGATTTCCTTGTCCACACAGGTTGCCAATATTTCATACCTGTCAGACAAGGCTAAAGTCTGGGATTCTTCAGCCCCTCTCTTTCGGGAACGCTTGCCTGCCCACCTGACTGTCACCCAGTCATGTCCGTCGCTGCTACATTCTTCTTCCTTGGGACTCAGGGGAGTGTCCGGCTCCAGGATAAAGCTGTCCAGGAAGTTTTCTCCATCCCTAATGCTGCGCAGCGTCTCCACCTGAGACTCCAGCTCAGCTACTCTCAGCTGGAGCTCTCTGATTTCCAGACACTTGCGGCAGACAAAGTCGCCCGGACTTAAGGCGCCCTCCATTGACTCCCACATGTGACAGACCTCGCAGTTTACCTGCCACACCATCTTCACAAACTTTATATAGATACAAAGATATATAGCCTGCCCCCACTTCCCCCTCTGCACCTAATTCCCACTCTCACCAAATTATCTCACACTCTCGCCTCACTCCGGACGTAGCTCACTCTGGGCTCTCGGCTCCTCAGTGGTGGGGTTGGATGCTGAGCAAGGGAGAGGGGAGCTGACCACAGCCACTACTAGACCATCGTGTCCTGGTCAATAATCCCACAACAAAATTGCTCATTTATTTCATGGCTGTTTGTGTGACGTTGCTGGGTGCAAATTGACTGCGTTCGCCCACAAAACACAGTCATGGCACTTTATACTATGTGCTGTGAAACACGTAGGGACGTCAAATTGACACGAATATCAGATTAAGGATTATTATACAAATTGTGGGCTCATTTCGCCCACAAAACAGTCAATTCACTTACAGTACATTCTGTGAAGCGCTTTGAGATGTCTCGAAGATGTGATAATGCGCTTTATCATATGCAAGTATTATTTTTATCATTAGTATTTCCCACCCCCTGTCCCTGCTCTCATGTAAATTCCTTTTCTTCGCTGAAACGCTTGATGTTTAACACTTGCAAAACCAGTTTAAGTGTTTAAGAAACTCCACCTTCTTTGAGAATTTATGTTAAAAAGAAATTTGGGGCATGTGGTGTGCAGAAGAAAATTATGGTATGTAATGTGTGTTTTGCAGAACAAAGCCTGTTCTTATCTCATTGCTCTCAATTAAATTCTTTACCAAATGCCAATCTCCTGTAACGACAAGGGGACGGGATTCTTCCCACTCAACTCCTGTTAACACTGCATGTCCTAACTCGTTCTATCTGGACAAGAAACAGGAAACTTGTCAGACAATGCTTTCAGTGTCGAGCAGTTATTTTCAGCTGGTGAAACTCTAGTGGTTAGCCCAAAGCATATTCTGGGGTCCCCAAGCTTTGGCTCTTGCCAACCTGTGCCTAATATTCTCCTGTATTAGGTAAGCAGACCACATCCCTCTGGAGAAGAGTGTCCCATAGGGAAATAAAATCAGTCATTCACTTTGTGGCTGTTTGTCAGACACTGCTGTACGCAAATTGGCTGCCAGGTACGTCTACAAAAAACAGTCACTGTATTTTACAGTATATCCTGTGAAGCGCTTTGAGACGGCCTCCCAACATGAAAAGCATTTTACCAAATGTAACTATTATCATTATTTAAATTTCTGTGCGTAGGTAGAAGTCTCCATGTCTGATTTGGATGCTCTTAATCAAGATGATGGGTTTCCCCATGTCAGTCACTTGGCTGAGCAAAAAAAACCTCTCTAATTTCCTGTTCTCTTCAAATTGCTGGTGCAATCAGCCTCCAAAGTCTCCCTGGGTTGTCTGTTCCACCCTCTGTGTAAAATAATTAAATGTAAGCTGTCTGTTCATCTGTGTGTTGCCAGGGCACAGCGCAATGAGAGGCCTGATTGAAAGGTGAAACTCCCACAAGGTGTCTATATTTGCTGTATTTAAAAATCCTTTGAGCTTCACTTCTCCTCCCCTCCCTTCATGATCCAGTTAAATCCAGTCAGCTACATTGCCTAGTTCAAAATGTAAAATGATTTACTTGATTTAATGCATAAGGGACCACAGGAATGGTTCTGCTGAAGAAACCCCTTCAGCCCATTTAATCTCATTCGTTCAAAATACCCATTGCAGCATTGAGCTGTTTTTTGTTAAATGAGTCCCAGTCTCCTGGTCTCAACCACCCTTTCTGGTAATCTGTTCCAGTTATTAATTACCTCCATGGCCTGAGAATTCCCTTTAGGTGGTGGCTACTAGAACTGTCTGCAGTACTCTCGGCATAAAGTGAGCGACAAAACAAGGGAAGGTGGGTTTAGAGCTACAGGAAGTAATTAATGACTGGAACAGGTTGGCAGGAAGAGAGGTTGAGGCCAGGACACTGAACTTGTTTGAGAGGACGCTTATAATAATCCTTGCATTTGATAAAATGCCTCATCATGTCATTGGGATGTCTCAAAGCGTTTCACAGAATGTATTGTAAAGTGGATTGACTGTGTATTTTGTGCACAGCCAATTGTGCTCAGCAGGGTCCCACAAACAGTCGTAGATTGAGTGACCAAATTATTATTGTGATCATGACCTCTTTAAATCTGAACTCACCTGATTTGGCAGTGGAGCCCAGCATTCTGCTTTTCCTTGTTTATTGAATGATGATCTAGACAGGTCTAGCTTTTGTTACTAGAACCATAGAAATTTACAGCACAGAAGAAGGCCATTTGGCCCATCGTGTCTGTGCTGACTCGGAGGTTCTAGCATGGATTTATCACTAGGTTTGTTTGTTTCTAAAGAATAGAGAGAAGTCGGTTTTGCAAGGATCTGCATCAAAAACTGAGCCAGGTGACCACTTTCACCTGCATACGTGAGATTTGCAGAGTTGTTTGCATCCAAACCTTTACTTCGATCTATTTGTTTTTCCCCACCCCAACACGATGGCTCAATGACAATTTTTATATGTCCTTTTTGATTAAAAAATCCCTTTCACTTGTCAAATAGGTGATCCTTATCTTATATACCTTGCAGTTTGTTGAATAAAACCCGGGGATGAGAAATGCAAGTTGTTGTAGTATAGTTTTACTTTATAGTTTTTTTCCTTCTATTTCAGAATACACCTGGAAGGTCAAAGCCAACGACAAAGACTTTTATGATAACCTCATTGTAAAGAAGTACGGTATATTCACTGAAAGCAAATATGCAGTGAGTAGATTTGTGGCTATTTCTCCTTTCTCTCTGTCTCTCTCATTTTTTAATTTTCTCTTTTTTCTCTCTCTCTCTCTCTCTCTCTCTATGTGCACTCTTTCTTTCTGTCTCTCTTTTGCTCTCTCTCGCCTTTCTTTTTTCTTTCTCTCTATTGTTTGATCTTGCAGGAGTTGGCAGGACCACGAAGGTGCCTTTGACATGAGGACATTTTTCTTCTGAATCTGTTCCAAAGAACACTTGTAAAATCATCACCTTTTTCTAAAACTGCTGTATTAGATCATTGAAGGGCCACAATAATTGGTGTCTAAATTAATTATAATTCAATTTCAAGGTCCTTGACTGTAAATCCTGGCCATGGCCAAGGACCTCTGCATCTCTGATCTCCTACTCCATTCTCTGATCATCTCCACTGTTTGGCTAACACTCACCTCCCTCCCTCTTGCTTGGCATCTGACCCCATCGTTGTCGGGCATTGTGACATTCTCCTTGGTGTAGGGCTGGTTGGGCAAGGATTTGCATTCGTTGGCAAATGGAGAAGTTAAGAGAAATGTTTCTCAAACACACAGTGGTTAGGATATGCAATACATCTGCCGGGAACGGTGGCTGAGGCACAATCTAATTCAGGTCTCAAAAGGAAACTAAATAAATATCTGAAAAGGAGTCAGCTACAGGGGTATGAGGAAAGGGCAGATAAGTGGGACTGAAAGGATGGCTCTTTAAAAGAGCCAGCACAAACACGATGGGTCAAAAGGCCTTCTTCTGTGCTGTGAATTCTCACGTTTCCTACTGTTTTGAAATCGAGACTCAATAACAACAACAATAATAATAATTAATAATATTAATAATAATCCTTGCATGTGATACAGCACCTTATGACATCGTTGAGCTATCTCAAAGTATTCATAGAATATACTGTAAAGTGGATTAACTTTATTTTGTGGGCAGAACTCACAGCCAGTTTGCGCACAGCAGTGTCCCACAAAAGGTCGTGGCTTGAGTGACCAATTTTATTTGTGGGATTGTTGGCCAGGAAACTATGAGAAACTTCCTTCTCTTTTTGAATAGCACCACAGGATCTTTAACATCCACCTGAAGAAGCAGACGGGTCCTCGGTTTAACGTCTCATCCAAAGGGTGCACTTCTCCTTCTCTAACCCATTTCCAGCACGTCTTGGATAGTATGGGACTGACTATCTTCCTCTAGTTACTGACTTGCTGAGCAGGAATAAAAAGTTTCTCCCTTATCCAAAACCCCTTTTGAAACTGAAAAAACCCTATGTATTTTGAGCCCCCGGTTTCAGCATTGGCTGATCTCGTAGAATCATCGATATAGAAGACAGCGCAGAAAGCCTATTGAGTCTGCACCAAGCAAGATGTTCATTCAGTCCCACTGCCCTGTCTTATTCCTTAATCCTGTGCTTATCGACAGCCATTTAGGAGGGTGGCAGTTCCATTTTCTAATAACTCTCTATTAAACACAAATTAAATTGAAAAACAAATCTAATTTACAGTATATCCTGTGAAGCGTTTTGTGAAGCATCTCAACAATATGATAGGGTGCTATACTAAATAGAATTATTATTATTAAATCTCAGCTAATGTCTTTCTATGTAGACTATGTTCTATAGTGAAGACTTAGACCATTAATAGCAGGCCTTCTTCATGTAGTTAGTTTAATAGTTTATTTTTGGTTAGCTATGTATCTGACACATGAGGAAAACCATCACCAAGATCAGCCGGGTGTCTTCGACACATGCGGAATCCATGCTTAAGAGTATCGCAAACCGACTGAGTTCCATATGTGCCCCTTACATATCGTCTTATGTTGTTTTTCTGCATTTTATAACGTGACCACTTCCTTGTTTTCTAGGGAAATTCAATTCGGACCTACAAATACAATCTCATCACATTTTTACCATTAAACTTGTTTGAACAATTTAAAAGGGCAGCAAATGCTTACTTTCTAGTTCTTCTCATTCTACAGGTAAGTTATGATTATTAATAGTAACAATTAATAATTATTAATCTAAATCCTTGCATTTTAATGTGCCACATTTCACATTTCACTGGATTTCATCGATTTATTACTGTAAAATCTAGTGACTGTATTTGAAAGGCGAATATTGCAGCCAATTTGTGCACAGAGATGTCCCTCCAACAAACAAGAACAAATCGCGTTTATATAGCGCCTTTCACATCGGGACACTTCTATAGAACCTTGGTTAGACCACACTTCCAATACTGTGGGCAGTTCTGGTCCCCACATTATAGAAGGGATGTGGAAGCACTAGAGAAGGTGCAATGGCGATTCACAAGCGTTTACACCCAAGCTGAAGGCTGGAGTCAGGAGGCCAAGGGGGTGGTGTTGGGAAGATGACCAAAGGCACGGTCGAAGAGGAAGGTCTCGAGATGGGCCTTGAAAGAGGCAAGGGAGGGGGTGAAGCAGAGGGCTCTGGAATGGCAGTCCAGGCAGTGGAGGCGGAAAGGCTAAAGGTCTGATAGTGGCGCGGACAGGGCGGGGGATGTGGAGCAGGCCAGCACCCACCGAGATAGCCTTGAAGTAAGAAACCAATTCACAGTCATTCACATTGAAAGCATAGATTGTGCAATGTGCAAGGACAGGTATGAGTCACTAAAATCACACAGTCCACTAGTTCAGTTTTAAACTGTATCCCGGGATTCCCCTCATCTGCAAACCTGCTGTTAAGTAACTCTGAGCGAAGTCTTCAAAACGGCTTGTTTAAACTAGTCTGGCTCATCCCAGCGCCTACACTCAGCCCATTTAGAATACATTAGAATACATTAGAAAATACAGCACAGAAACAGGCCATTCGGCCCAACTGAACTATGCCGGTGTTTATGTTCCACATGAGCCTCCTCCTAAACTTTCAAGCATAACCTTCTATTCGTTTCTCCCACATGTACCTGTCTAGCTTCCCCTTAAATACATCTATGCTATTTGCCTCAACAACTCCTTGTGGTAGCATGTTCCACATTCCCACTACTCTCTGTGAAGAAATTACTTCTAACTTCCCTATTTGATCTATTTGTGACCATTTTATATTGATGGTCCCTGGTTTTGGTCTCCCCCATAAGTGGAAACATCTTCCCGATGTCTACCCTATCAAAACCAGTCATCATTTTAAAGATCTCTATCAGTCACCTTTAACCTTCTCTTTTCAAGAGAAGAGAGTCCAAGTATGTTCAGCCTTTCCTGATAGGTATAACTTCTCAGTTCTGGGATCATCCTTGTGAATCTCCTTTGCACCCTCTCCAGTGCCTCTACATCTCTTCTATAATGTGGGGACCTGAACTGCACACATTATTCTAAGTGTGGTCTAACCAAGGTTCTAGAGACGTTTACCATAACTTCCCTGCTTTTCATTTTTATCCCACTAGAAATGAACCCCAATGCCTGCTTTGCTTTTTTTAATGGCCTTATTAACTGCGTTACTACTTTTAGTGAATTGTGTATGTGTACCCCTATGTCCCGTTGCTCCTCTACCCCATTTAGGTTTTTATTTTCCAGGATGTATGTATTTCTCTTTACGAAAAGGCACATATTTTTCTAAAGTCACTGCGATGACACCAACCCAAATAGAAAACTTTCTAGAGTTTAATTTAAAATTTAAAAATATCTCCTAAATTATACACAATTTAATTTTTAATATTTTTTTTAAAAAAAGTTTAGCTTTAGGCAGTGAAGAGTCTAATTTGGGACTCATCTATCTCTCCACAACAACAAAATGACATTTGTATAGCACCTTTCACATCAGGATGACGTCCCAAGTTGTCACTTAATGTGTTCGCCAGGCTCAGTCAGTAGTCCTATCCTCAGAGTTGGAAGGTTATGGGTTCAAGCCCCACTTTGAGACTTTGCACTCGTATGGTCTTGGCTGATGGAGTATTCCAGTGCAGTGGGAAGTGGTTTCATAGTCTATGCCCGTTCATACAGTGCTGTAGGTGTGTAGCATTGTTGGAGCCAATTTGCTCACAGCAAAGTCCCGCAAATAGTGATGAAGTGAATGACCAATGTTATCAGCCAGGACACCCGACAAACTCCCCCTCTCTTTTCAAATACTGCAATGGGATCTTTAACGTCCGCCGGATTGGCAGACGGGTCCTTGGTTTAGCGTCTCATCTGAAGTACGGCACCACCGACAATGCAGCGCTCCGTACTGGGAGTCTCGATCTACGCTATTTGGTTGGTACCTTAGACACTTTGGTAAATTGAATAAGTTTTGGTGTAGAGCTGCCACTCGATGGAATGGTAGCAGGAAATCCATGGGCATGTACACCTGGGTCTGCCTTAATGCATCATTCCAGGAATGAACAAAGGTGACCTGACTACTGGAGACTTTGTTTGTTTTACACCATGTGCAATATGTTCCTTTTCCTCCTATCAGAAATCTCAATGTCTTGTTTTCTAATCTTGCATCCAACATCTGTGATGAACAGGATAATATAAATAAGAAATCCTTGCATTTGATATCGCTTGAGGAATGGCATTGTAAGATGCATGTGGAGTCCTGCAGTGTATTAGTTAGAGCACTCGCCTCGCAAGCGAGAGGACCTGTTCGATTCCCGGCAGGGCGAAACGTTAGGCAGGTTTCCTTACTCCACACACCACTGTTTACCAGCAGTAAGTAGGAACCCGGTTGTTAGTCAATTGTCAGATCGCTTTTCCAGGACTGATAATTCCTTCAAACAAAATAATAATTTGATCACTCAATCCGCGACTGTTTGTAGGACACTGTTGTACGCAATTGGCTGCCACTTTTCACCCACAAAATTAGCACTCAATTCCTTGTACAGTATAATCTGTGAAGTGCTTTGAGATATCTTGAACATGAGTGCCACCTGATGTTAAATGCAAAGATTATTATTATCTGAACAGGCAGATGGAACAATGTGCCTTTCAATGTTCAGGTCTCAAAAGCGCTTTAGAAGTAAATCAATTGCTGTCAAGTGTAGTGACAGAGCTAGAGTCCCGCAAAAAACGGTAAACTGAATGACTGACTTGGGGGTGGTGTTGCTGGAAACTCCCATCTTTTTAACTGATGTCATGCAGCTGAACAGGATAATCCTACCCTGTCCATGTGAACTCATTGCATATTTTTCTTTCCTTCTTAGATCATTCCACAAATTACCACCTTGCCTTGGTACACAACACTGGTGCCATTAGTAGTGGTACTGGGGATAACAGCAATAAAAGATCTCGTGGATGACATTGTACGTATTTTATCTCTTTCCTTTTCTTACACCCTCTCAACCACTGAGTTTTGTCAGAAGCAGAAATCCCCATTGCTTCACTGCTTCCTGCTGGTGCAGATACTCTGAATAGGAATGAGTGGGGATGGAAGGCACTTAACATTGAATGCAAAAGTCTGAATGAAGCCAGGGTGATGGAACAGTGCCACCTGATGTCAAACAGTGCTGTAGGCCATTCAAGGACTTTGCCTTTCGCAGCAATAGTAATAGGCTTGTATGAAAGTATAATAATAATAATCCTTACATTTGACACAGCACCTTATCACGTCTTTGAGATGATCCACAGAATATATTGTAAAGAGAATCAACTGTATATTTTGTGGCAGCCAATTGTGCACATCAGGTAGTACTGTTATGTGCTAATGGCACAGTAATATCTGGTTATTTTATTAACTGAATGGAAGTTACGTTTGCACCAAATTAAATACAGTTGCTACCAAATGACTTGGTGCATCTAGGAAACAGGTCAATTTAAAATTTGCCTCGAAAACGAGAGGAACCGGGTTCGATTCCTGGGCAGGGCGAAACCTCAGGCAATTTTCCATCCTCCATATGTCTCTTTTTACCTAGCAGTAAGTAGGAGCCCGGTTGTTAATCGATTGGCAAATGGCTTTCCGGGGATAATAATCCCTCAGCCTGCTCACTCCCTCGCTCTCCCTGCTTCCATGCAATCAAAGTCCACCTCACCACTTTTCTGTTCTTTCGATCAACTTTTCACCACTACACCCTCTTCAGCAAGCTCGGGTTCCCATCCAGCAGTGTGAAGCACTTTGGGGCGTTCTCCTGGCACGAAAGGTGCTGCGTGAGTGTAACCTGTATAGTAAGTCCTCAGTGATTGTTTCTCATTCTTCTCACATCTCTTGTCAATTGGAAACTTTCATGGACAAGAGTTTCCGTCATGTGGTGTGTAGAGATGGCCACACAGACAGAGCAAGTTGAGATGCATTTCAACAGCAGCTACTTGTGCTTAAGCAACACCTTTCACTTAAGATTATGCCTCAACAAAGCGCTTTGCAGGGATGGTGGAAACTCATCATTGTGGGGAACAAGTGGAGGGATGGGAGGGGAAGAGGGAGATAACTGAAAGTCCAATCTGAAAGGCGAATTTGAAAATTGGGAGGAAGGAAGGGTGCTGGGCGGAGAGATGTGGAGAGGGGTTTCTGACGAGCGAGGCTTTGTGGCAGAACACGTTTTCAGTGTGTGATGTGTTTTCTTTATTTCTATCTAACCGTTAGGCTCGGCACCAGATGGACAATGAAATCAACAACCGGTCCTGTGAGGTTTTGGAGGATGGCAAGTATGTGTGCGCTATTGACTTCTCTCTTGATGCTTTGAAGTGCAGGAGTTCAGAAAACATCTAACTATACACATTACTGGGTTTGAAGAGCTACATTAGCAGCTAATGGGGACACTCCATTGATTTGCTCCTGGGCCAAGTTCTGCTTTATCAATCATAAGACACACAGAGAGGCTGTTTGCCCGATCAGTGACTTTGAGATGTCATCCCCTCATGAATGGTGCTATCTAAATTGTATTATATCAGTAATAATAATAATAATAATCTTTGCATTTGATATAATGTCTTATCACATCGTGGAGACATCTCAAAGCACTTCACATGATATAGTGTCAAATGGATTATGAGCAAAATGCGGCAGTTAGTTTCTGCACAGCAGTGTCCACAAAAAAGACAAGGAGTGAGTGACCAATTTTATTTGGGGGATTGTTGGCCAGCACACTGGGAAAGAGAAACACCCTTCTCTTTTCGAATCGTGTCATGGGATCTTCAACATCCACCTGAACAGGCAGACGGATCCTCGGTTTAACATCTCATTGGGAGGCCTGCGCTGGTACATTTCCCTCAATGAGTCACCAAATGTAATCATACTTTCCACGCCCTCATCTCCTCCGCTCCACCATCGGTAGACATGTTTTCAGCCAATACACCCCAAACCTCTCAAACTTTCTGCCTCAATCCCTCCGCCTCGTACCCTCCTTTCCCATCTTCAGATTGCACCTGAAGATCTTCCTCTTTAATCGTACTTACAGCCACCTCCACTCTGCCCTCATCTTGGTGTCAAGCTCCACCACTGTTAAGCGATCTAGGACACTGATGAGCCCAATATAAATGCAAGTTGTTGTTGTTTTGTTGTTTCTCTCTACCCCACACACCATTCTAATGTTGCCCTTTTTTTTAACACGAAAGATGCAAAATTAGAGTGGGATAGAGTGAGACTATTTTTGTTACTGAGATCCATTACTGGACTTAACTGTATTTTTCACCCCCACTTAGTTTTCAACCATCAAAATGGAAGGACTTAAAAGTCGGTGACATTGTGCGATTACGAAGAGATGATTTTATTCCTGTAAGTGAATTTAATAAATGATATTTGAAAATTTTTAAAAAGTGTTGTTGCTTTGTAACAAAAATCCAGTGCCCTGTTTTTAAAGCATTTTGTCATAGTGCAAATTTGGTTATAGTTATAATAATAATAAAAAAATTCTTGTATTTGATGCAGCACCTTATCACGTCATTGAGGTGTCTCAAAATATACAGTTAATTCACTTTATAGTATATTCTGTGAAGCGCTTTGAGACGTCTCGGAGAAGTGATGCAAGAATTATTGCATCCCGCAATAAATGCAAGGATTATTATTAGTGTTATGTTATGTCTCAAAGCGCTTCACAGAATATACTGTAAAGTGAATTGACTGTTTGTTTGCTGCTCGTGCTCACTGGTTGGTTTTCCTGCTAGAATGGCTGATTTACAGGTCAAAAGGCACATTGATCAGTTTGCTTGTCAAAATTCAGATTGCTACGGCAAAGCAGGAAGTGACATTGATAGCAACCTGATGAATCTGAAAATCAGTTATTTTAAAATAATGGGAACTGGCAAGCACAAGGCTAATCTGTCTCCAAAGTGAATAGCTGCTGTAAGGTGTGTCAATAGGCAAATATAGGATTGTGTCCATTTGGAAAATATGGCATCAGATTTGCACACAGCATATGTTCCAGAAACAGACATGGAGTAAAACGATCAATGTTGTCTGGGGGATTGTCATCCAGAATGCCAGGAGAAACCCTTTTCGAATAGCACCGCAGAATCTGGTCCACTCGAACAAGCAGACAGGATCTCCTTTTAGTATCTGAACTGAAGGACGGCATCTCTGACAATGCACCTCTCCCCAGTTCTCCACTGGGATGGCAGCTGAAACTTTGAGCTCAGTGTCCCCAACGTGGGAGGAGATTCAATTCACACCTTCTGACCCAGCTACAAGAGCGCTACCCAATGAGACTATCTGAACAGATGTAGGTTCTAACTTACTCTCTATATCTCCTTTGTTTAGGCTGATCTACTGCTGCTGTCCAGCTCTGAACCCAATAGTCTTTGTTACGTAGAAACAGCTGAACTCGATGGGTAAGCATTCTCAACAGTGAGGAAGAGATGCCTGGCACAATGAATTGGGGATTGGAGGGGTAGGACGGGAGATATGGGGGTGTAGAAATGAGAGTGATGGGGGCTCCTGTGGAATATAAACTCTGACATGGACTAGTTGGGCCAAATGTTCTTTTTCTGTGCCTTATCGTTCTGTGTAACTCTGTACATGTGAGTAGAATTGCCAGCTATCAATGGCAAGCTGTGTGGTTTTAGCTGGTTAGACTCCAACATTTACCCCAACACACTCTCTGGGGTCCCCAAATCTTGGCTTTTCCCAAACTGGACCTAATACTTTCCTGAATTAGGTAAGCAGTCTGCGTCCCTCCAGAGAGAGAGAGAGCACACATTCCATTTCAACAATCTATCTGTGGGATTTCCATGTGTTGGTGGGATGCATGGTTTGGTTCAGCTTGGTTTGGATTCTCTTAAACATGGTAATGAGTTTCCACATGTGTCAGACACTCGGCTGACCAAAAAAAAATGAATGGACTTTCTCAATGGAACAGAATGTATAAGATACACAAATCAGAATATTGACTCTGCTACTGTCTGTGAACTGATCTCAATCCATGTTCTTGCAGTGAAACGAACCTAAAATTTAAGATGTCTCTGGAGGTGACAGACCAGCTGATGAAGGATGAAAAGGGTCTGAAATCTTTTGATGGTGAGTTTTTCAGTCACTGCGCTGAATGGTCCTCGGGCTTGTTTTTTACTGTAAATTGCTCATAACTCCTCTCTCCAAGGGAAAAGGGGCTCAGTGACGAGTTATCAGGAGTGGCGAGTTAAATGTTAAATATATAAATATTAAAATTAAAGCTAAGCCAGTTAGAAGTGAAATCAGGAAGCATTTTGTCACACAAAGGCTAGTGGAAATCTGAAACTCTCTTCCCCAAAAGGCTGTGGATGCTGGATCCATTAAAATTTTCAAGACTTGTTCAGTAAGGGTATCAAAGGATATGGGACAAAGGAGATGGGAGTTGAGTTACAGATCATCCATGATCTAACAGAATGGCGGAACAGGCTCGAGGAGCTAAATGGCCTACTCCTGTCCCTGTGTTATGTTCTTATAAATGTGACCGGGTTATTGATGACAATATGATGACTGAAGTGTTAGTGACATGTTAAAACAGGGTCAAGTTATCAGGAGTTATCTTTATATCAGTGCTCTTCTTCAGAGCACTTAATAATCCGTACATATACAAAGGGCTTCACAAGATATACTGTCAAGGGTATCTTTGTGGGCAGGCAATAGAGGCTGGGGGAGAGATTAATTTTGGTAGGAGTTGATAGGGGTAGGGGGGGCTTTGAATCTTATTAAATGTTTTGAAATTGTCAATTATCTTAAATTGGAAGAGGATAACATCAGGAAACCTGATGTGGTTTGTGTGTATTTCATCCCCCACCACTCCCTGAGATTATGACTCATGAGAATTGAGGAGGGGAATTTGGCTTCAAGGAGGAAAGTTGGATCGAGAGCAGAAAATGAGGGGTGGGAGAGTGAAATGAAGTTCTGAGACGCAGATTAAATATTCCGTTATATGGGGTGTTCACAAAGTCCTGTTACCCCCATATTTTTTTTTGACACAGTGCCCTGACCAACCACTCAAACATGATGAAGAATTATGCTAATTGTACTTAAAAGTACTTAATTGTATTCAGTGCAAGTGTTTAACTGTACTAAGATGTCCAGAGGATCTGTGTGTGTGAGAACACCATCATTTTGTGGCAGATAATGATGCATTGCCATGTTTGGTGCCCATTGTCTACAATGGATGAAGTGAAAGTCTGGTATCAGACATTATTATACTCAACTAATTTGCAACAGAAAATAAAAATTCATTGAAGAAAAAAAAGGGTAAGAGGACTTTGTGAACACCTGCATGTTTTGCTACTGTACACTGAGTTGAATGATCTTAACCCCCTCCCTCCCCCAACACACAAATAGACGTAAAAATATTGCTTCTTTTTGCCACCAGGTATGATCGAGTGCGAAGAGCCCAACAATCGCTTGGATAAGTTCGTGGGAACGTTATCCTGGAGGGACCAGAAATACCCCCTCAGTCTGGACCACATCCTCCTGCGTGGCTGTACTGTACGCAACACCAACATCTCTCATGGGATACTCATCTATGCAGGTTACTGATAATAGTAATATTAATAATAATAATATGCCTTGCATTTGTTATAGCGCCTTATCACATCGTTGGGACGTCTCAAGGCGCTTCACACAATATACTGTAAAGTGAATTGACTGTATATTTTGTGGGCAAAACACGGCAGCCAATTCCGCACAGCAGTGTCCCACAAACAGTTGTGAATTGAGTGACCAAATTATTATTTTTATTTTTTGAAGGGATTATTACCCCAGGAAACCGATTGCCAATCGACTAACAATCGGGTTCCTATTTACTGTTAAGTAAAACAGAGGCATGTGGCGTAAGGAAACATGCCTAACGTTTTGCCCTGCCCGGGATTTGAACCCAAGTCTCTCGCTTGTGAGGCGAGTGCGCTAACCAATACTCTACAGGACTACACTGTTGAAGAATCTAAGTTTTAAGACCATTTTGCTCTGTGTTACAGGAAAGGACACAAAAATAATGAGGAATGGAGGAAAGACACAATTCAAGAGGACTAAAATCGATCAACTAATGAATTATATGGTTTATACGGTGAGAAAAACCTTCTGTTTGGGGATGTGCGGTTCCAAGGGCATTTTCCACCCACTTTTGGGCATGAAATTGATGTTGCTTTTTTATGCAAAATGGTTTGTCCTACTTGGAAAAGCTAAGGGAAGCTTGTTACACAACACTTTCAATGACAAAATAGTGACTTTAGCAGGTCAATCTCCAGCAGTTACCCCAATTCACATTCTGGGGTCCCCCAATCCTTGGGTCTCGCCAACCTACGCCCAATACTCTCTAAAGCTACATTAATGGGTGGTATCCCGCCAGGGAGAGAGAGAGAGGGGGGTGTGTGTATTCCATTATAAATGCAGAGACATTTGTATGTGGAAATTTATAATATTAATAAGAAGAGTCCTTGAAATTTGATATAGCGCTTTATCACATCTTCGAGACGTCTCAAAGCGCTTCACAGAATATACTGTAAAGTGTGTATTTTGTGGGCGAAACCCAGCAGCCAATTGCGCACAGCAGTGTCCCACAAACAGTAGTGGATTGAGTGACCAAATCATTATTACTTAATTTTTGTTTTATACACACATGTGGGACTCCCTGGTTTGGATACTCTTAAGCACAGGGATGGGGTTCCTGCATTTGTCAGACCAATACCAGGCTGACCAAAATTTAATACAATGTATATATTTTCCAGATCTTTCTCTGCCTCATTCTCCTGTCAGCCGGCCTCGCTATTGGCCACACTTTTTGGGAAAGCCAAATCGGCAACATTACTCGGTCCTGGTATCTCGATGATGGCAAAACGGATTCCCCTTCTTACCGAGGCTTCCTCATCTTCTGGGGCTACATCATTGTCATGAACACAATGGTTCCCATTTCTCTCTACGTCAGGTAATTGCATCTCAGTCACAAGGGGCAGAGGGGGTGGTGAACGTGGGATTGGAGTAAGAGTTACAATTCGCTCCAGGATTCCAGGCTGGGTCTGAATTTTGCCCATAAAATACAGAGTCAATTCACTTTACAGGATATTCTGTGAAGTGCTTTGAGACGTCTTGAAGACGTGATAAGGTGCTGTATCAAATGCAAGTCATATTATTTTATGTTATTAATTTTGTAGGTGGGGGAGAGATGAAGAGCATTTTAATAATACTTGCATTTGATATAGCGCCTTATCATGTCTTCGAGACATCTCAAAGCACTTCACAGAATATACTGTAAACTGTACATTTTGTGGGTGATATGCGACAGCCAATTGCTCACAGCTGCGTCCCACAAACATTCGTGGATTGAATGACCAAATTATTAAATCTTCCTCTCATTGGGAATTCGGGGGTGTTTGCTCTGAACTCTCCCATGGGTTAGGGGTGATAGGCGGGTAAGGGGGTGCTTCACACTGGAGAAGGGCAAGCAAACTGAAGTATTGAAGATCTTAACGAGTCAGAGTCATCGTTCACCGAGGCAGATGGTTTAGGCCAAGACATTGGGCCTGATTCTGTCTCAAAAATTCTGCTTGTCTAATGAGAAGTGGGTTGGGGGTGAATCAAAAGGGCCTTTATCATCCAAGCTTCTTAATGAAGTAATGGTGAGTGTCGTGGAAAATCGTAGCTTGACTGTCATCATTCCTAGTTTATCGTTAAAATAGAGAACATGGGTTTACAGCAACAAATTACTTTTGCACTGGGAGAACGTCCCAAGGAGCTGGACAGAGTCAAGGATTTGCGCCCAAGCTGGGGGTTGGATCAGGAGAGTTGGAGGGCTGGGAAGGTAGGGGTAGGAGGGTGACCAAAGGTGAGTTTAAGAGGAAGGTCTTGAAACGGGCCTTGAAGGAGGCAATTGAAGGTTTAGGGTTACAAAGGGCAATTTCAGGACTGAAAATGGGAAGCTTTTCTTCACCCAGAGGATAATCGACAAAGGCAACTGGGTTACTAAGAAGAGTGGTTGAGGCAGGACACTGGGATTCATATATTTTGATAATAGTAATAATCCTTGCTCCTTATCAAGTGATTGAGAAGTCTCAAAGTACTTTACAGAATGTATTGTAAAGTGAATTGACTGAGTAGATTGTGGGTTAAAAGAATTGTAGTGGGATGATGGTAAGGTAGGTGTTGAGGAAGGATAATAATAATAATCCTTGCATTTCATATTGTGCTTTTCACGTCGGGAGGACGTCCCAAAGTGCTTCACAAAACACTGTAAAGTGAATTGACTGTATATTTGTGGGCGACCGCAGCAGCCATTTGCGCACGACAATGTCCCACAAACAGTCGTAGATTGAAAATGACCAATTTATTATTGTTTTTGGTTTTGGAGGGATTATTATTAGGATGAGATCAAATGGGTTAATGGGCCTTCTTCATCCGAACCTCCATCATGATCTCTCTTATTCCTTTCTCTTAGTGTTGAGGTGATCCGCTTGGGACAAAGCTACTTCATAAATTGGGATCTGCAGATGTACTACGCTGAGAAGGACACACCGGCCAAAGCAAGGACAACCACCCTGACCGAACAGCTGGGCCAGATCAAATACATCTTTTCCGATAAGACCGGCACCCTCACGCAGAACATCATGGCTTTTAAGAAGTGCTACGTGAACGGCAGGGCGTATGGTAAGAACAGGGAGATCTCACACATCAGCTGCTCCATTAACCTCCACAAGTCACCTCACCTCAGTAGCTCATTGTGAAATGCTTAGAGAAAGTTTGGTATGAAGCACTGTCAAATGCAAGTAATATTTGGTCTGGGATGGCAGCCTAATACATAGAATGTTATAGCACTATTTGTCTCAACTAGTCCGTGCCGGTGTCTATACTCCACATAAGCCCCCATCCCTCCTATAACCCTCTATTCCCCTCTAATCCCCCCTCTCTTGTATAGGCATTCAGTTTCCTCATAAACATGTTGACGCTTTCAACCACTGCTTCCAACAGTAAGTTCTGCATTCTCGCACCTTCTGAGTAAAGAACCAAGCTTCTCTATCAGATCTGCTCCTGACTATCTTGTATTAAGCCTGGTTTAGTGGTAGCACTCTTATCTCTGAGTCAGAAGGTCGTGGGTTCAAGCCCACATCGGGACTTGAAATCACACAGTCTAAGCTGACACTCCAATGCAACGCTAGTAGTGTTGCATTGTTGAGGGAGCTATCCTTCGGATGAGACATTGCACCGAGGTTCCGTCTGCCTGTTCAGGTGATGTTAAAGATCCCATGGCACTGTTTGAAAAGTGAAGGGTGTTTCTCCGGTGTCCAGGCCAACAATCCCCCAAATAAAATTGGTCATTACTCTATGGCTGTTTGTGGGACATTGCTCTGCGCGATTGGTTGCTGTGTTCTGCCCACAAAATACAGTCAATCCACTTTACAGTATATTATGTGAAGTGCGTTGGGACGTCTGGATGACGAGATAAGGCGATTTATCAAAAGTTGTACTGCTGGTTCCTCGTATTCTTGTTCTCAGTGGACTTTCCTTTTCTGTCTACAGGTGAATTGTGCAACGCTGCTGGAGACAAGACTGACCAAAAAGAGGTGAGGCGAAACTGGTGGTGAAGTTTAGAAATATACCTGGGAGGGAAAGGGGAGTTGTGAAGTAACTTAGGGGTGTAGAATTAATGACTCTCAAGTAGCTGTTGAGGACTGGATCATTAAAAACATTTAAAAAGGAATTGGATGAGTGACTTGGCAGGAAAGAGTTGGAAAGTGGGATTAATACAATATACAAATTCACGGCTTTCACGATAGGCGGAGATCCCTAGGCAAATAACCTTATTTGCATTGCACCCGGGCAGGGGTGGGAGATGATGACCGAAAGCCCAGTGAAAGAGGTAGGTCTTGAGACAGGTCTTGAGGAAGGTGAGGGAGGGAGCGAGTTGGAAGCATTCCGGAGATGGGAGTAGATAGTGGCGTGGGTAGGACAGGGGACATGAAGCAGGCACCACAGAGCAGCCAGTGAACAAGGTGTAGGACAGGGCGAGGCACTGCCCAAAAAGCATTTTCAGCTCAGTTGCTCATGTTTGTAACACTGTTGTCCATTTTCCCAAACCATTCTCAACTATTGCCTTCAAGTCCCTCCACAGTCTCGCCCCACAGTACCTTTGTGACCTTCTCAAATTCTACTGACTTAGTCGCTCCCTACACTCGCTACACACAGGAAGAGTTTGAGGAGGTGTTAAGCGCTGTATAAATGCTGGTTGCTTCTTGTTAACTTTACCCCCCCCCCAACCACCCCTTGGCCATTGTGAGGAGGAACTTTAAATCCTCATCAAAAGCCTTTCCAACCTTGTCTTCTTGCAGCTGGTGGACTTCAGCTGGAACAGTTACTCCGACGGGAAATTCCAGTTTTATGACCATTACTTGCCTACACTGATCCGGTCAGGAAAGGATCCGTCGGTACAGGAATTCTTCAAACTGCTCGGACTCTGCCACACGGTGATGGTGGAAGAAAACAAAGGTAAGCTGTGCTGGGGGATAGAGGGAGGGAGGGGAGAGCGCAGAGAGAGAGGGGAAGGGAGGGGAGGAGGGAGGGAAGGAGGGTGGGAAGGGGGCAGGAGGAGGGGGGGTGGGGTTGGGAGATTTGGGAGTGTTTATGCCTTGCTCCAAACATGAGATGGAATACACAGCCCAAGAAGACGGTAGATATAGAATCGGTGTGAGTGTTTTGGCTGCTGCCCCGATCGAGCCATCCACTCTCAAAATGCCCCCACTTCTATTCCATACCCTGCGCTACTCCCACTCCATCCTTCTCTCCTACAGTGCTCCCTGTCTTCTCTCTCTCATGGATCCTCAAACAGTCTCCCTCTCCTCTAGGCTGGGCATCTCCAAAGCTTTGGAACTCTCTCCCTCGAATCCTCCATCTTGCCCCCTGATTCCCCTCGATAAAATCATGATTGAAGACCTTCTTCTTTGGCAAAATTGACCGCGAAATTTACCTATAAAATACACAGTCACTACACTTCAGCTGAAATCCTGTGAAGTGCTTTGAGACGTTTCAGCAACATGATAAAGGCGTTACATCGTATGCAAACAATATTGTGACGTTCCACGAGTTGATTAGCCCACGCATACACATGTGTATACACATACATATGCATGTGGGCGTCCCCGAATGCAGGCGGTCTTGCACTCACAGCCGTGCACGTAGAAACAAACACACACAGACACATCATCACCCACGCAGGCATTGTTACCATGTTCAGAAGAACCTTCTTCTCCTTGGGATGTCCTCCAGACGTGAAAGGCGCTACACAAATGTCATTTGTTGTTGTTCTTCATTCAAAACCTTAGTTATTTTCTTCCTTTTTTTTCCCTCCCACCGTGTGTGTGTGTGTGTGTGTGTGCGTGTGTGTGTGTGTGTGTGCGTGCGTGCGTGCATCAAAACCAGGCGAATTAGTTTATCAAGCAGCCTCTCCCGATGAAGGAGCCCTGGTCACTGCAGCACGGAATTTTGGCTTTGCCTTTCTGTCCCGCACACAGAACACCATCACAATCAGTGAACTGGGGACAAAGAGGACCTACCAAGTACTGGCCATGTTAGACTTCAACAGCGATCGCAAGAGAATGTCTGTCATTTGTGAGTGTCAAGGTTTTGTAACCCTCATCCTGTAGACCCGGCTGCCTTCGGTCCTCTGTGTTCCCTTGTCTAGTAGGTCGCACCTAGAGACTTTCCTCTTCGACCACTCCTACGGCCATCTGCCCTTTCTACCCGGCTCAGCGTCAAGCTCCGCCATTTCAAGCGCTCAGACACTATCCCACATGAAAAGCGCTATATAAATGCCGGTTAGTGATATGCCTCAGAAGCAAGCTATTCGGTTGAGCATTTTGCTCACAAAATACAGTCAATATAATACATTTACAATATTTGAAACGTCTCAAAGACATGAAAAGGCTTTATGTCAAAAACAAGGATTATTACTATTATATATATATATATTCACTCCTTTTGACTGGAGTGCAGTAGAATGGAAATATTTAGTCTTTTAATTGGATTGAAGACATTTTCTACTTGAACATTTTGGGAGCTGGGTTATTACTTGGCTATTAACAATAATAATTCTTGCATTTGATACAGCACCTTATCATGTTTTCAAGACGTCTCAAAGCGCTTCACAGAATAAACTGTAAAGTGGATTGACTGTATGTTTTGCGGGCGATATTACTTGCCAAATAAAATTGGTCACGCCTTTAATGGCTGTTTGTGGGACATTGTTGTGTACAATTGACAGGGCTGTGTTCATCTAGTGCTGTGTTTGGGCGAAACGCGGCGGCCAATTGCGTACAGCAGTCTCCCACAAACAGTCATGGATTGAAGTGACCAATTTATTTATTTTTTTCTTGAGGGATGATTAAGTAAGGAAAGGAAACTTGCCCCAAGGTGTCACCCTGCCGGGAATCAAACCGTTTCATATTTGCAGTCTGATTTTTTAAGTCATTTTTGATTAGTAATTAATCTCTCAAGGGATCCTTCACGCTGATTTTCTGGAGAAGCAGTCCTGCTGCTGGTGTTAATCTCTGCTCGGAATCACAATAGAAATTCCCATTGCCTTTGGATAGCGTTTATTACAGACCATTCTGCCAGATTATAGTGAGGTTGCACTGTATTTATAATATTAATAATAATCCTTGCTTTTGATATAGCGCTTTTTACCTCCAAATAATCAAATAATATTTGACCATATTATGCATATTTAGTTACAAAATATCTCCTCCCATTACTTCTTCTCACCTTGAGTTTTACAGTTGAGGAGGTGAATAAACCAAACATATGTATCTCTTCGTCTCGCTTTTGAAAATCGGAGACCACTTAAGAAGATCGTTCTTCCAGCTCTCGTGTGACTTGTCATGTTCCTCAAAGGTTATTGTATAGATCGGAGGTGACTGATGGCTTTTTCTTTCCACTCCGTTGCAGTGAGAGACCCAGATGGTAATATCAAACTCTACTGTAAAGGTGCTGACACAGTCATATATGAGAGGTTACATCCCAACAACCCAAAAAGGGATTGTACAGAAGAAGCACTGGTGGTGAGTGAGACATCTGTGTGTCTGTTCCAGAGCACAAATTAATGAATAATTGAAGGGAAGGGAATAAATGTCAGGACTTTGAACTTGTAGTCTAGGCCGATGCTCCAGTGCAGTTCTGGGGGGAAGGGGAGGAGGGTTGCTGTGTTGTTTGAGTTGCCGTCTTTCAGATGAGACATTAAAATGGGGTCCCATCTGCCCGTTCCGCAGTCATTTAAAAAATAAAGTGGGGAGTTCCTGGTCAATAATTACTCAGATAAAATTGGTCAATCACTTCATGGCTGTTTGTGAAACATTGTGTTCAAATTTCATGTTGCGTTCTGAAGGACAACATCTCCGCAATTGGAGTGTCAACCTAGACTATTAACCAAGCTCCTCCATCTCATCTCATAAATGGTTTCTCGTTCCATCCCCTGGCCGGTCAGCCCAGGGCTCCATCCTTGGCCCTCTTCTATTCCTTATCTATATGCTTCCCTCTGGGTGATGTAATCCGCAGACACAGGGTAAACTTCCACATGTATGTGGATGACACACAAATCTACTTTGCCTCCTCCAGTACCAACCCCAGGTCCACCGATGCTCTATCAGCTTGTCTGGCAGACATTCGTGGAGTCCTGTAGCTCAGTGGTTAGAGCACTCGCTTTGACAAGCGAGAGACCTGAGTTCAATTCCAGGCAGAGGGCGAAACCCTGGGCAAGTTTCCTTACTCCACACAGAGCCTAATAATAATCCCTCCAAAACCAAAACCAATAATAAATTGGTCATTTTCAATCTTCGACTGTTTGTGGGACATTGCTGTGCGTAATTGGCTGCCGCGTTCGCCCACAAATATACAGTCAATTCACTTTACAGTGTCTTCTGTGAAGCTCTTTGGGACGTCCTCCCGACGTGAAAAGCACTATATCAAATGCAAGGATTATTATTATTATTATTAAGCCATGGATGAGTATAAACTTCCTGCAGCTGAATATGGACAAGACGGAAACCGTTACTCCTTGGCTCCCGTCAACGTCTTCACACCTGCAGATCTAAACTCCGAGCTCTCCTTCAGACTCACCAAACCAGTGCGAAACCTAGGCGTCCAGTTTGACCCCCAGCTGTCCTTCCTCCCCTACATCCAATCCCTGACCAGGACCACCTTCTTCCACCTCCACCACATTGCCCTCCTCTGACTGTACCTTACTCCAAATGCAGCCAAACCCTTGTCCATGCATTTGTCACCTTCCGCCTTGTTTACACCAATGCACTCCTCCCCGATCTCCCCAGCTCCACCATTTACAAGATGCAGCTCATTCAGAATTCTGCCACCTGCATACTGACCTGGACCAAACTCCTTACCACATTTCACCAGTTCTGGCCAGACTCCACTGGCTCCAACATCACCGAACGGATTGATTTCAAGATCCTCACACTCGTGTTCAAATCTATTCACGCCCTGGCACCTCCCTACCTCTCCGACTTCCTCACTCCCCAATCCCACCTAGCTGCTCTGCTCAGCTGCCACCGGCCTCCTGCTCGTCCCTCACACCCTCCGCCACATCAACAGTGGTCGGGCTTTCAGCCATTATACCCCAAAACTCTGTAACACTCTCCCTCAATCCCTCTGCCTTGCCCCCTCTCTCCCCTCTTTCAAGTCCCACCTGAAAACTTTCCTCTTTAACTGTGCTTACGCCCACCTCCTCCCCCGTCACCCCGGCTTGGAGTCAGACTCCACCACAGCTCTGAGATGCTACCCTCCATGGAGGGTGCTATATAAGTGTAAGTTATTGTTGTTGTCAATCGTAAATTTGGATTGCAAGATTTATCACAAAGACTCCAAAATAATAACTAAAGTAGCAGAAAAAAACTGAAGAATCTTTGTGTCTGCTCCCACACCTTTGAAGCCTTCTTTGCCTCCTTCAAGGCCCATCTCAAGACCCTCCTCTTCGACCATGCCTTTGGCCACCCTCCCTGCCCTCCATTCTTCCTGATCCCAACCCCTAGCTCGGGTCCAATTCCCTGACTGTCCAGAGCCTTGGGACATCCTCCTGATGTGAAATGCACCGTATAAGTGTAATGTGTTGATGTTGCTATCTCTCTCGCAGGATTTTGCAACTCAGACCCTCAGAACCCTGTGTCTAACCTACAAGGATATCAGCGAGGCTGAGTACTCAATTTGGAACAAGAAATACGCAGCTGCCAGTGTCTCCACAAATAACCGCGAAAAAGCACTTGACGAAGTGTATGAAGAAATTGAAACCAATTTATACGTACGTGTGTATATTTTGTTTGTAGCCTGCTTCATATCCCCTGTCCCACCATTGCCTTTGAGTCAAATGGCTGTAGGTTCAAACCCCATGTGTGGAGTTTGAACTCACAGTCTAGGTTGACACTACATAGCACTCCATTGCATTTACTTTAGACAAATGTCAATCTACCATAAGCAATGCAGTCATTACAATCACAGGATTTACTTAAAAATCTGTAAAGCACTTTGAGATCTCGCCCCAATAAGACGGCCTCTATACCCACTCACCCCACCATTGGCGAGAGAGCCTTCAGCGACTCTGCCCCCAACTTCTGAAACCCCATCCCCCAATCACTCCGCCTCACCCCCTCCTTAGTCTCCTTCAAATCACGCCTCAAACCATCCTCTTCGACCATGCCATCGACCACCTCCTTCCCCTCCCCTCCCTTCTCCCCCCGACCCCAGCTCGGGTCTGAAATGCTATACACTGTCCAGTGCCTTGGGACGTCCTCCCAACATGAAAGGCGCTGTACAAATGTAATCTTGTTGTTTGCAGCTCATCGGAGCCACTGCCATAGAAGATAAGCTGCAAGATGGTGTTCCTGAGACGATCGAAACTCTCGCAAAAGGACAGATTAAAATCTGGATGCTGACTGGAGACAAAAAAGGTAACTACCAGTGTTGGAACTCCAGTACCATGCATTTGAGATTGTTTCTGCTCCTTTTGCTCAGTGGGAAAGCTTGTCAGATAGCGATATCAACAGTAAGCTATGCGGTTTTAGGGACGTCTGTGAAGCACTTTGAGACGTCTCAACAATGTGGTAAGGCAAATGAAAGTGTTATTATTTATTATTGTTGTGGAATGATGAGACCAAATGAGATGAAGGGCTTTCTTTATCCGAAAGGCTCGTGTATTTGGGATTAAATATTCAGAAAGCCAGTGTAAACTTAATGGGTAAATGGTCTCACTTTCTGTGCTATAACATTCTAATTACTACTCCAACAACAACTTGCATTTATGTAACACCCTTTACCCATGTAGCATGAAGGGTGTTACACCTTGAAGCTTGAAACTCTTAAATGTGGTGTGGTTTGAATATAATAACGCCGTGTGAAGTTGATTTAATTAGTGATTTTTGTTTTCTCTTGTTTTTAAACAATTAGAAACTGCCGAAAATATTGGTTACTCTTGTCGGCTGCTAACCGAAGAAATGACAATACATTACGGAGAGGAGATTGGGTAAGTGAATTCTTAACCTTGAAATGTGCATTGTTTGCTGATGTACCAACTTGTGCACTGGTGCCTGGCTTCGTCGGCAGTATTCTGGCCTCTGAATCAGAAGGTTGTGGGTTCCAACCCCATGTTACGACTTTGAAATCGTACAGTCTATGCTGACAATCCAAGGCTGTGCTACATTCTCAGATGAGACGTTAAACTGAGGTCCCATCTGCCTGTCCAGGTGTACTTTAAAGATTCCATGGCGCTATTCAAAAAGAGAAGGGAGCCTTTCCTGATTTTCAACAACTTGCCAGATAAAATGATCATTCACTTCATTGCTTGTGGGACATTGCTGCGTGCAAATTGTTTACCACTGTCACTTTCGAAAAAATACAGTCGCTGAACTTTACAGTATATCCTGTGAAGCGCTTTGAGATGTCCTCTTGACATAAAAGATCATGCATTAAATGTAATAATAATCCTTGAATTTGGTATAGTTCCTTATCAGGGTGAATTCACTGTAAAGTGAATTGACTGTATATTCTGTAGGAGAAATTGATGGAATGTTATTAATTCCCTTTGAAATGCCCCCAATTCAGTCTGCTCCAACAACCAACCCAACCAATATCCATATTTTAATAACCTGTTATTTTGGCAGATCGCTTTCCGGGGATAATAATCCCTCCAAATACAAAACAATGACCACTCAATCTACGACTGTTTGTAGCTCACTGCTGTGTGCAATAGTCTGCCATGTTCGGCTCACAAAGTACAGTCATTCCACTTTACAATATATCCTGTGAAGCGTTTTGAGATGCCTCAACAACATAACAAGGCAAGGATTATTCTTATTATAACCCTAGGTGGTTATAACTAGTAGAGGTATGAAAAGAAAAGTACTGTAGCTTTTTTCTTTGGTCAACTATCAATTTAGTTGCCATTTGCTCTACCCTCCAGTTGGGTGGTAGGAGGGTACAATCATTATATGTATGGATCTGTGCACCTCTGCAGGCAATGTTAAGGCATGACACATTGAGGCATGCAACAAATCCTTCACTCTCTAGTACCTCCCTACCTCTCCGACCTCCTCATTCCCCAATGCACCACCCGTCTCCTCCGCTCGACTGGCACCGGCCTCCTGCTTGTACCATGCACCCTCCGCCCCACCAGCCAGAAGTCGCACTTTCAGCCACTACGCCCTGAAACTCTGGAACATTCTCCCTCAATCCCTCTGCCTTGCCCCCCTCTCTCCCCTTTTTCAAGTCCCGCCTGAAAACCTTCCTCTTTGACTTGCTTATGGCCACCTCCCCTCCCCGGCTTGGAGTCAGGCTCCGCCACTGTTAAACTCTCTGAGCCGCTAACCTGCATGTAGGCTGATATATAAGTACAAGTTGTTGTTGTGTGACTAGAAGATATTTCATGGTATAGACACTATGGAAGTTCTTGATCATTGAGTCTAGTCCATGAGTGTTGGGTGGCAGCAAAGGTAACGGCACACAAAGGAGATGCCTCGCCAAGTTTTTAACCGAGCCCCTTCTCTTCCTTTTTCAGTGACATTCTCAACACCCTGCAGGAGAATAGGAAGAATGCTAGAGCGGATGGCAAGCATGCTCGTTCCTTCTTCGACAGCAAGGAGAATCACGCCCTCATCATCACCGGATCCTGGCTGGTATGTAAAACTCAGGCTGGGAAAGGTGGCCTCTCTGCAGATGAAGCAACTTGACGTGAGATTAGTCACCGCTTCATTCCCTGTGCCTTCATTGTCTGCCCTTCCAAGTCCTGCCGATGGGATGGTCTGTCATCAGCAGTGCCCTGGAGTCCTGCGGATCTGCCTGGAACAGGACTAACGAGATAGCCAAAGAGGACTGGCTTGATTCCAACTTTCCGTTGCCAAATACGTCACCTTGTGAAAAGACACCACTGTGTAAATTTCAAGAAGCTGGAAATTAGATTTTTTTTAATATTAATTTAAATCCATTTATTGCAATACTTGAGTCCCTCCACCAGAGAGCGACAGTTCAAGAGACTGGCAAATTAGGTGACTGTGTGTGGTCTGAGGGCTTTTATTTCCTTCTTCTCCATTATCTTTAAAGGGACTAAATTTCCCATTCATTTGCATGTGTGGTTGAATTTTATTTTATTAATTTTAAGTCTAGTGTGTATGTGTGTGTGGGGAGTGAGGAGGAGAGAGAAAAGGTCACCTAAGTCACCTTTTTCATAGAATCTTAGATTCTTACAGCACAGAAGGAGGCCATTCGGCCCATTGTACCTGTGCCAACTCTTTGAAAGAGCTACCCAACTAGTCCCACTCCCCCGTTCTTACCCCGTAGCGCTGCAAATTTTTTCTTTTTAAGTACCTATCCAATTCCCTTTTGAAAACTATCGTTTAATCTGCTTCCATCAACTTTTCATGTGTGAGCTTTGGCAATGAGAGTGTTGGGCAGTAATTGGGTGTCAAGTGAAGGGGATTAAATATTACCAGCATTGGTGGTTGAGGCCAGGTTGGGACTTGTTTTATAAAACAAAACAACTCAATGCTGTGATGGGAGGACAGTGGGGTGGGCGTTGTGGAAGAATGAGATCAGATGAACCAAAGAGCCTTCTTCATCCAACTAAACTTGCATCTCTTTCTCCCTCTTCTCCCTCACCCCCCCCCCCACCCCACACCCCGCCCCAACCAATTTTGCACTGAAACAGAACGAAATACTTCGCGAGAAGAAGAGGAGGAAAAAGAAGTGGTTCAGGCTTCCAAAAACGGAGGACGAGAAAAGGCTGCATCAGGAGAGGGAGCAACAGGAGGAGGCGTCCAAAGATAGGCGTCAGCAGGACTTTGTGGAACTCGCCTGCCAATGCAGCACCGTCATCTGCTGCCGGGTCACCCCCAAGCAGAAGGCCATGGTTGTCAGCCTGGTGAAAAAATACAAAAAAGCCATCACCCTAGCAATCGGAGATGGAGCTAATGATGTCAACATGATTAAAAGTAAGTGTGAGCAAGGCTTTGGTATCTTATTCTCCATTGGGCTGATCTTTGTTGTCGTTGTTGTTGTTTATCTCCTCCCTCTGCAGTCAAGTGATCAACAAGTGAATGAGTATCATCCTGGTGTGGGGGTAGAGCAGGAGGTAAGCAGGGTCTCATTGAGGCTGAGCTGGCTCCAAGGTTACGTGCCTGGCAACCGAATATTAAAATCGAGTCAACTTTCTGTGGTGGTTTCGGTAGTCCAGTTCATGAGCCAGCCGGGTCTGCAGTACTTGATGATGACAGCACAGTCAGCCTGGCTCATCGGTAAGACTTAGAGAAGCAGACCAGACACTGGGGTCAGGGATTCTTCCCACTCAGATGCTGTTAACCCTGCAAGTCTTAGACCTAATGGGAAGGGCGGTCCTAGCCAGATAAGCATGTGGAAAGCATGCTCTCAATGGCAAGCTATACGCATTTAGCTGGTTAAACTCCAGCAGTTACCCCCAACGCACACTCTGAGGAGAGTGTGGGCATTCCATTCCAGACATGGGGAAATTTCCGTGTGCATACATGATGTGGAATTCATTCTGGGTTTGGACACCCTTAAGCAAGGTGGTGGTGCTCCAAATGTATCAGAAACCCAACTGACCCAAAAGAGTCTGCGGTTCTCATAACAACCTGCCAGCATTGCCAGCATTCCTATTTCTTCACTAATATCCTAAGAAAAAAGTTGTCTGCTGGGATGTGGGTAAGGAGGAGAGAGGGAGAGAGAGAGATGTGAGGGGGGTGGGGGGAGAGGGAGGCGGAAGGATTGAGACAGGGAGTTACGAGTGTAGTTAAGAGTATAGGGACTAAAGGCGCTGCCTGCGATGGTTGCCCAGACCTAGAGGTGAAAGCGCTGCTCATTGAGCCTTACTGACTGTGTGCTTTCCCTTTGACTTCCACTGTAGCTGCTCACATTGGCGTAGGGATCAGCGGGCAGGAAGGCATGCAGGCCGTGATGTCCAGCGATTATTCCTTTGGACAGTTTCGATTCCTGCAGAGGCTGCTCCTGGTCCACGGGCGATGGTCGTACATCCGGATGTGCAAGTTCTTGAGATATTTCTTCTTCAAAAACTTCTCCTTCACTTTGGTCCACTTTTGGTACTCCTTTCACACCGGGTACTCTGCACAGGTACGTAGATGCAAACACTGGGACCAAAAAAAGCCGTTTAGTCATTAAACAATTAAGGAATTGGCTGCCGCTTTTTGTCCACAGATATACAGTCAATTCACTTTGCAGTATATTGTGTGAAGTGCTTTGAGATGTCTATAAGACGTGAAAAGCGCTATATCAAATCCAAGTATTATTATTATTATAAACAGTCTCGTTATTAATACAGTAATAATGATGCTTGCGTTTTACATAGCATCCTGGAGGGCACGTGTGTAAATGCACGGAGTCTGAAAAATAAGATGGGTGTGCTGAGGCTCAAGTTGCCACATGGGGTATTGATGCAGTAGCGATAACGGAGACCTGGCTCAAACAAGGGCAGGAATGGGACCTGAATATTCCTGGCTACAAAGTATTCAGGAGGGATAGGGAAGAAAAAAAAGAAAGGAGGTTGGCAATATTGATTAAAGACACGGTTACGGCCCTGGAAAGGGACAATGTTCTAGAGCGTCCAAAACGGAATCTATTTGGTTAGAGTTAAGGAGCAGAAAATGAGCTGTTCCTGTTAGGTGTAGACTATAGACCACCAAATAGTGGGAAGAAGATAGACGAGCAAATCTGCAAGCAGATTTCAGAAAGATGCAAAAGAGTAGTGATAATGGGGGTCTTCAATTATCCTAACATAGACTGGCCTGATAACAGTGTAAAGGACACGACAGGCCAGTCAGCTTAACATCAGTAGTGGAGAAACTTCTAGAGACTATAAACCGGGACAAAATACATTTTCACTCAGAAAAATATTGGTTAACAAAGGACAGCCAAATCATATCTAACAAGAGATGATGACGGAACGGAGAGGGTGGATGAAGGTAGTGCAGTTGATGTCGTTTATATTGATTTTCAAAAGGCGTTTGACAAAATGCCACATAAGAGACTTGTAAGCAAAATAGAAGCGCACGGAATTAAAGGGACAGTGGCAGCATGGATACAGGACTGGCTGGGAGACAGGAGGCAGAGAGTAGTGGTGAATGGTTGTTTTTCTGACTGGAAGGAAGTATTGGGACCACTGTTGTTTTTGATCTATATAAATGACCTGGACTTGGGTATAGGGAGTACAATTTCCAAGTTTGCAGATGATACTAAGCTGGGAAAAGTAGTAAACAGTGAGGAGGTTAGTAGCAGACTGTAAATTAATATTGTGGAGTCCTGTAGCTCAGTGGTTAGAGCACTCGCTTTGCAAGTGAGAGACCTGAGTTCAATTCCAGGCAGAGGGCGAAACCTTAGGCAAGTTTCCTTACTCCACACAGAGCCTAATAATAATCCCTCCAAAACCAAAAACAATAATAAATTGATCATTTTCAATCTACGACTGTTTGTGGGACATTGCTGTGCGCAATTGACTGCCGCGTTCGCCCACAAATATACAGTCAATTCACTTTACAGGTGTGTTCTGTGAAGCGCTTTGGGACGTCCTCCCGACGTGAAAAGCGCTATATCAAATGCAAGGATTATTATTATTATAGACAGACTGGTAAAATGGGCAGACACGTGGCAGATGAAGTTTAATGTGGAGAAATGCAAATTGATGCATTTTGGGAGGAAAAATAAGCGAGAGAAGAATAAGATAGGTGGTAAAATCTTAAAGTGAGTGAAGGAACAGAGAGACCTGGGGATTCATATAAGTAAATCTTTGAAGGTGGCAGGACAGGTAGATAAAGCTGTTAAAAAAGCATACGGATACTAGGCTTTTATAAATAGGGCATAGAATACAAAAGTCAGGAAGTTATGATGAACCTCTGTAAAACATTGGTTACACCTCAGTTAGAGACTGTGTTCAGTTCTGGGCACCACACTCTAGGAAGGATGTCAAGGCATTGGAGACGGTGCAATGGAGATTTTCCAGGATGGTACCAGGAATGAGGGATCAGTTATCAGGAGAGGCGAGAGAAGCTGGGATTATTCTCCTTGGAGCAGAGATGGTTAAGACGAGTCTTAATAGAAGTTTTCAAAATTATGAGGGGATTCGATAGGGTGAACAAGGAGAACTATTTCCACTGGTGGATGGGTCCTCGGGCCTGAGGACACCGACCTAAATAGCTGTTAACAAACAGAAGGGAGGTGAGGAGAATTTTTTTCATGCAGTGAGTGGTTCAGATCTGGAATACATTGCCTGAAAGGGCGGTGGAAGCCGATTCGATAACAGCTTTTAAAAGAGAAGTAGATAATTATTTGGGGACAACAAGTTTGCAGGCACAGACCTAATGGACCAAATGGCCTCCTTCTGTGCTGTATAATTCTATATATTCTATTTTTTACTATAAAGTCACCACTATAATAATATAATAATAATGCTTGCATTTGATATAGCACCTTATCATGTCGTTGAGTCATCTCAAAGCACTTCACGGCATATACTGTAAAGTGTCGTGACCCTGTTTTCTATAGGTGAAGATGGCAGCCAATTTGCACACAGCAAAGCCCCACAAACAGCTATGAAATGAATGGAAAATTTTATCTGGGGGATTGTTGGACAGGATACCAGGAGAAACTCCCTTCTGTTTTTCAATTATGCCGTGGTATCTTTAGAGTCCATCTGAACAGGCATTGATGAGGCCTTGATTTATTCATGAGAAAGTGGATCCTTTGGCAATCACAACCTCCCTCAGCACTGAATTGGAGTGTCAGCCAAGAAGGAGGTACAAGTCTTGACATCAGGCTTGAACCCACAATCTGCTGATCTCTAAGGCAAGAGTGAAATGAACTGAGTCAGTGAGCTTGGGCAGGGCAGGGCTTGGGAATTGGTGAGTGGAGTGCCTACTGCATAACTGACTGAAACACCATTGGAGATCGTGCTTTCAGCCACTATGCTCCAAACTCTGGAACACTCTCCCTCAGTCCCTCCGCTTTGCCTCCTCTCCTTGCCCTTTTCAAGTCTCGCCTGAAAACCTTCCTTTTCGAACCGTGCTTATGGTCACCTTCCACCCCCACCACCCCATCTCGGAGTCAGGCTCTGCCACTGTTAAGCACTTTGAGACGCTACCTTGTGGGGAGGGCACTATATAAGTGAAAGTTGTTGTTGATAGAAACTCTTTGTGTAAGTTTTGCAACTAAAACTGGAATGTGGAAGTGAGTGAGCTTAAAAAAAAGTGGAAGTGAGCAAGACAACTATTACTCACTGTAAAGACTAATTTATAAGAGAAGGAAATCACTCTTTCTGCTGAGTACAGGGATTTTTGCAGATGCTTAAAGTGCTACGTGGAAGTGAAGCCATCTGGTTTGGATATTTATAAGCATATAAAGGCTTTTGGGATTCATGGCTTTCCTTCTTGACAATAATCAGGAATTGGTAATTACGAACCAGAATCAACACACATTGCAATAGCACCTCCAACAATGCAGCAAGCCCCTAGTCGTGAACTGAAGTATTGGCCGAGATTATATGAGGTCCATGTCCCAATGTGGGGCTTGAACCCACAACCTTCCAACTCAGAGGCAGGAATGCTACCAAGACACAAGATCTCTCGGCACTATTCAAAAAGAGAAAGGAATTTCCATCAGAATCCTGGCCAACAATCCTCAAAATAAGATTAGTCATTCGCTTCATGGCTGTCTGTAGGACATTACTGTGGGCAATTTGGTTTACGCGTTTACCTACAAAATACAATACGATACAATTTGTATTTACGTAATGCCTTTCAAAGTGCTTGACAATGCTGATGGTTACCCAAGCTGGGGTGGGAGCCAAGGGGGTTGGGGTGGGAACCAAGGGGGTTGGGGTGGGGAAGCAAAGCAAGTGATCAAAGCAAAGCATTGTGAGATGTACATAAAATACTGTCATTAAATTTGACAGTAAATCCTATGAAAAGTGCTATATCAAATGCAAGAATTATTATTATTAAAATTCACATATTGCATTTGATTAAATAAGTTGAGTTCACATGAATCCAACACCTTTTCTCTCTTCTTTATACAGACTGCGTATGAAGATTGGTTTATCACTCTCTACAATGTTCTGTACACCAGCCTTCCAGTCCTGCTTGTTGGGTTGTTGGATCAGGTAAGTTGCTGTTCACCATCTTCTATTCCACCCTGGAAATCCCATTATAAACCAGTAATGAAAGATGGCTACTTTTAGTGGTCATTGCCTGGTATAACAACAATTTGTATTTATGTAGCACCCTTCACGTGGGGCAGTGTCTCAGAGCCCTTACAGAGGCAGTGCTTGACACTGAGCCAGGGAAAGGAGAGTGAGGAGAAAGGTCTTCATGTGAGATCTGATGATGGGCGTGGAGAAAGTAGGCAGAGGAACTAAGACTGGGAGTTTGGGTTTTGGGGCTTAGTGGCTGAAAACACGCTGATGATGATGGCACAGAGGGGGACGAGGGACATAGAGAAGGCTAGGTTTATTTTGTGTTATGATGTGGGTGGGTGGCTGTATGTGTTAAAAAAAAGTCTTCCAAATCATAAGCCCATAGGAGTATGTTGATGTCTTTTAATTCTCCCCTTTCTTTTACTTCTTCCGCCACCACCCCAGCCCATCTCCCAAATAAATAGCAACGAAACAAAGTTTACCAAACATTTTAAAATATTTTTTTAAAAGCTTTATACATTACTAAACAACACAACATTATCATATACCCTATGATAAGATGTGTTGTCCTATCCTGGATATCAGGATCTCTCAATATATAGTCTGGGACACAACATGCCATGCAACTGCCAACATAGTGGAAGGCGAACTGGACATTGAACATGGACCTTGGTCCTCTTTCGCCTAGCAAATTCTTATGGTCCCATATAAGAGAGAAGCATTAAACGGATATACAGCCTGGTCACAACCCGTCAATCACTTAAACTGTTAGTCAAATGGGTGTTGATATTTCTTCATCCATAACTTGCGAAGGATTCTCCTTTTGTTTCTCTCTCCGTAGCCCATGGTAATGGAGCAGAATAGTGGGAGAGCTGGTACCATCACAGACATGGTGGGGTGGATAGCCTGCTAGGCTATAAACATCCTGTGGTGATGCACTATTGCACAACAACAATAATAATCCTTGCATTTGATATGGTGCCTTTTTATGTCTTTGAGGCGTCTCAAAGCGCTTCACAGAATATATTATAAAATGGAATAAAAACAGAAGTCACTGGGAACACACAACAGATTAGGCAGCATTTATGGAGAGAGAAATATTTGTTAACATTTCAGCTCGATGAACTTTCGTCAGAACTATAATCAACATATTATTCAATGACCTTTCTGAACCAATACTAATCTCCAAAAAAATCTTTCTTCTGCTGTAATTTCCATATTCATTAACTTTCTGTTTGTTGTTTTAAGGCTTCTCTTGTTCTATTGGCAATGCTCTATTTCTAAATTCTCGTTTTCCTACAAGTGCTTAATTTGCTAACATAGTTTCATTTTGACAAACTTCTGGCCCTGTCTTTGGGGAAAAAACTCTGCACGCTCTCTGTATCTCACAGGATCTTGTGCCCCTTCCTGTTCCTGTGTTCTGAATAGCTTCTGTATTGACTTAGCTTCTTTATTCGGAGCTACAGTGTATTCTGGCTAACACTTATTCCGCACACTCCCAGTTCCTGCTGATTAATGTTTTGTCGGTTTGGTATCCTGTTTAATATCAATAACTTTTTCTGATACTCCTGACTTTTCCACAGAGGCTTTTCCCTTGTACTAAGGTTTTTCTGATACCTCACTATTATAAACCACTAAATCGCTATTATTCATGTGTGAGACCAATTCTAGCACGCTCATGTGCAAGTCAATCTGAGGTCAGCACAATACTATTGACATTCATACTGCGCTTTTCATGTCAGAAGGGCATCTCACAGCTCCTCACATTGTTGGCTGGGCACCTGAGCTTGTGGGGAGTGGGGTTTGGGAGCCAAAGTGCGTGCGTGTGTATTGTGGGAGGGGAGGGAGGGGGAGAGATGACTGAAAGCATGGTGCGGTCAAAGAGACATGAGTAGGAATTGTGACCAGGGATCGTTTTAGCTTGCATTGGTCACTTTCACTCTAGGCAATGCTTCAACTCAGACATCAGGGAGAAGGGAATGATTGCTCAAGGTTACATTTTGAAACCAGATTCACTATATTCTATCCGTCTCTCCCCCTCCCCTTTTTTTTCCGTTAGGATGTGAGTGACAAGTTGTCTCTTCGCTTCCCGAAACTTTACAACACTGGGCAGATGGATTCTCTCTTCAATTACACCAAGTTTTTCATCAGCCTGTTACACGGCATCTTGATCTCCCTTGTTATTTTCTTTGTACCTTACGGGGCTTTCCTCCAGACCATGGGCCAGGATGGTGAGGCTCCGACTGATTACCAGTCCTTTGCAGTCACCACAGCCTCCGCCCTCATCATTGCTGTCAATCTCCAGGCAAGTCCAAGCATGTTACCAAGCTCTCGCTGTAATCGTGATGTGATCCTCTTGTCTTGTCATTATCATGAGAACCTACTAGCTACACAGCATGGTTGAAGAGATGGGTCTTAAGACAGGGTGTAAAAGGTGGGGAGAGAAAATTGAGGCGGCAGGATTGTGACCGACATGGAGTTTCAGAGAGAGGGGGCAGAATGGCTGAAAGCTCCCCTGCTGATTGATTGGGTAGATTGGCCGGGCGGGGAAGCAGTGGGGAGAGAAGCAGCCAGAGTTTGCTAAATGAGCGAGGGAAGGGGGTGGCATGGGGTTGAGATCCCATAGGGTTGCAGGAGGCAGGGTCGACCAAAACCATGGAGGGATCTGAAATGTGAGGACAAGGATCTTGAATTTGATTTGTTTGTATAAAATTACATTTGTAAAGCGCCTTTCACATCGGGAGGACGTCCTGAGGTGCTGGCGCAAGCACTTTCAGAGATAAAACTGGCAAGAAATGAAAGTGAATGTTATGTTGGCAAATATGGTCATGGATTTTCTGTCAGCAATGTTGAGCTGAGAAACTAATTCATCTTAATTTTCATGAGGAGGATAATTCCAGGGCAAAGTCAATGTTCACAAGCGAGCAAGAGAGATTGCATTTTTGTAGAGCTTTATCATGTTCAAATATGTTCAGAGCCTTCACAAGAACGTTAGGCAAGCTTCCTTACTCCACATGCCTCTGTTTTGGTAGGAGTTGATTGGAACCAGGTTTGGGACGTCCTCCCAGTGTGAAAGGTGCTTTACAAGTATAATTTTGTTGTTGTTGTTAGGGTTATTATTATAAATCCTTCTGATTCCTCCTTCCATAGATTGCTCTGGACACCTCGTACTGGACATTTGTCAATGCCTTTTCAGTCTTCGGAAGTATTGTGATTTATTTTGCCATCATGTTTGACCTTCACAGCGCAGGAATCCACATCCTCTTCCCATCATCGTTTACCTTTACCGGTCAGTGCTTCTCTCATGCCCTCTCCCTCTCTCGTGTTGTTACACTCACTCTCTTAAGTCTGCACTCACGCACACTTATTTTCCTTCTCTGCCGCACGTGTGCTCACACTCTCTTGTGCATGCTCTGCAAGGTGTAAGAGTGTGAAGAATCATGTAGTGTTACAGCTTGGAAACAGGCCGTTCGACCAACTGGTCCATGCTGGCAATACAATGCAATACAAATTTTGTAATACAGCGTCAATCAAAAGTTCTTACTCCTTCACCTATATGAGATACTCAAACTGCATTCAATGTTAGACGTTTACACATCATCTCGGTGACAAAAACATTCATGAACACAATGAAAGATGTCTCTGTAACAGCTACACACTGAGAGATAAATAAAAGAACATAATTAATCAGTAAAGACTTATAGTTCACCCTGTATAGCGTCTTTCACACAACCCAAGGTGTTTGACGATACTGGCTTGGCACCCGAGCTGGGTGGGTAGCCAGGAGGGTGGGAGGGAGAAGGTGACTACATTGTCTGAGGTAAAACAACTTGCATTTACATAGTGCCCATCATGCAGGGTAGAGTCCCAGAGTGATCTTGAACGAGGTGCATGGAAGCATCCCAGGTAGATCTTGAGGAGACGAGTTGGTGGGACTCTGGGATGGAGTTCCGGAGAGTGAAGGCCCGCCTGCTGATGGTGGGGCGGGTAGAATTGGGGACATGAAGCCAGCGGTGCTTGCTGAACAAAGGGAATGGCCAGGATCGGGAGGATTTGAGGAGGTCACGGAGGTAGGGTGAGGGCGAGAAGGGAGGCACAAGCCTCTTCCCATCTTATAATCCTCTATTCTCTGGAAGAAGAGAAGTTTGGGAGGGAGCGAGAGAGATTGACTGACCTCTAGTTACAATATTTTGATGTTTGATAATGGTGTAGAAGTCATATTACATGTTGGAAACCGAGTGCGACCAAAAAGCATGTTTAAATGGAGGGAACGAGATGTGCTGAAGTGAGGGTATTTGGACTATCGTTAGAATTAAGATTTTTCACTTGAGCTGGACAAGTAGCAAGAAAGCTTTCCAGAGAGTGCTTCCAAAGACAAGTTGTGTGGTTTTAGCTGATTGGAATCCAGCAGTAACCCAGCGTGCCCTCAACAACAACAACAACAAGATTGCATTTATAGAGCGCCTTTCACGTCGGGAGGACGTCCCAAGGCGCTGGACAGTTGGGTCAGGACCCGAGTAGGGGGGAAATGGTCAGGGGGAGGGAAGGGAGGGAGCGAGGAGGGGGTAGAGAGCCGAGAGGAGAGCTGAAGGCACGGCTGAAGAGAAAGGTCTTGAGAGGAGGAAAGGGAGGAAGCAAGGCACTGGGGGATGGAGTTCCTCTGAGGTCCCCAAGCCTTAGCACTTGCCAACCTGACCCAATAATTTGTGGAATTAGGTAAACAAGAGAGAGAGAGAGTATTCACATTCCAGTCCAACGCAAGGAAATGTGTATGTGGGAATCATGGAACTCTGTTGGGTTTGGAATACTTTTAAACATGGTGATGGGTTTCAGCGTGTCAGACACCCGGCTAACAAAAAAAAATTGCCATTAAACTTGCTGGTTCTGAAAGTCTGTAATTATTTTGGATGTTCTTCACTTAGGTGCTGCTCCGAATGCACTTCGACAGCCTTATCTGTGGCTGACCATCATCTTAACTGTCGGAATCTGTCTGTTCCCTGTTCTTGCCATTCGTTTCTTCTTGAGGATTACCCGACCGTCAATAACTGAACAGGTGAGTAAAGGAACCGTTGCATTTTGATAGCACCTTATCACACCGGCCGAGCTTTGCAACAATGACAATAAATGACATTTGTGTAGCGCCTTTCACATCGGGAGGAGACGTTGTGGTGGGGCGAAGCCTGGCGAGGACTGGAGTGACTGGGTAGGTGGAGTTTGCTGCAGGTTGACCTTCGGTGGAGAGATTGTACAAGCACTCGAGACGCCTCTATGATGCGATGAGACGCGATATCAAACAGAAGGATTATTATTGGATTATTATTTTATTCTTAAATCCTTAGATTCAGATGAACCGGAAGAAATATGAGAGCGAGCCACTGCCTCCGACCAGGCAGCCGAGCGGATTCCAGAGGAACGTCTCCACTCGGCGATCAGCCTACGCATTTTCACACCAACGAGGATTCGCGGACCTTATCTCCTCGGGCAGGAGTATCCGGAGAAAAGACCCGAACTCCCATGCCGGAGCCAGCAGGAGCACACAGAATAATGCGGGCGGAGACGCCAGCTGAAACCAACGACTTTCTTTTTAAAATACAATACAACATTTTTTTTAAAGAAAAGGACACTTGGGAAGCCTCGGGAGGTGGAGTAGGATGAAAGGGGGGAATTAATTTTAAACCCACATTTCTCGGGGATTGATAGGAAGATTGTAAGTTTCATTTCCAAGCTATTTGCTGTCGCTCTTCGGATGATGATCAGTACGGTTTTGTACGAGACGTGAGAATGATTTTGATGCCACCCCCAACACCCACCCCCCCCTCCAACCCTACTCTACCTACTCTCTCAATCCCCCCACCCTCCAGGGGCCAATGCTGGAGCCAGAACTGACTTCTGAGGGAATCGCTGTCTTGATCTCCAGGAGCCAATGGTACAAATGAAACTCAACACAGAATCCCAGGGTTTCCGTTGCTACTATGAGACAAGTCAACAGTACATAATCTCCACAGAGCAACTTAGAGAGGATGTGTATTACAGTTTAAGTTCAGAGCATAAGGCAGAAGACGATGTGTGCTATTTTAAAACTGTCCAATGTTTACATATGTATAATGTACAGATTCACTCTTGTTCATAAAGTCCTCATCACTGCTTGTAAATACAGAATTATATTTTTCCTCCTGCTTTACCTAATTTGGTGACTCCATACCTTTATTAAAAAAACAAAGGTTTCTTGTTGATCTTCTAATACGCAGTATCTAAATATATTTTTTATCTGCACAAAAAACATTTTGTGTTTCATCTGAAGTTCTTAAAAAAGAGAATATTTTGTAAAATTTCAAGAGTAAATAAAATTGTTTCAGTTGATTCAGGTTTTCCTCTGTTGACAATAAACTTTTTTAAACAAAGGAAATGTACTGAATGATTTTAAAAATCTATATGCATTTGTCATCTGCTTCTGTTGTTAATATTTTAACTGCATGTTTTTTCTTTTTAAAGGGGAAGAGGTGGATTAAGTAGTGGGATGTTCTGACAATGTGTTATCAAATATAAGGATTATTAAATGGAGGACATGGTATTCCTCTGTTGTAACTATCTGAATGCAAGTTTTACATAGGGACAGCAATTTACAAAAGAAGTTATGGGTGGTTTTGAGGCAAATTGTCCCAATGGTTCCCAGTGTCCATCAACCCTTCAAATCAGCCTCCATTTTCTCTCTCGTACTGGCCATACAAGTCTATATGCTATAACTTATTACTGCAAACATGATCATCAATGGCCCCTAATACTTCACGGGAGGCACTGGTTCTATTCCTATCAGAGTTCACAATTGAGCCCATTTTGCTGATCTCCCTTTGCATCTTGGAGATGTATTTTTTTCAAATTTTTCACCAAAAATGCAGGTTATCCCATTAAATACTCTTGCCGCTACTGGGGTTTGACTTTTGACAGCTATAAAAACAAGCTCAGATATAATATAAAAATAATCCTTACATTTGCTATAGTGTCTTACATATCATTGAGACGACTCAGTGTTTCAGAATATACTGTTAAGTGAAGTGTTGTAGGCAAAAAGGGTGTGGAGTAAGGACACTTGCATAAGGTTTCACCTTGCCCAGGAATCGAATTCAGGTCCTCTTGCTTGAGAGGTGAGCGGTCTAACCACTAAGGACTCCAATCAGAATTGTACAGCACAGAAGGGGGGCATTCAGCCCATTGTGTCTGTGCTGGCTTTTGGAAAAGAGCTATCAAATTAATCCTACTCCACCACTCTCCCTATAGCCCTGCAAACTTGTCCTTCCGCCCAAAAATATCTACTCTCTTAAAAGTTGCTATAGAATCAGCTTCCACCACCCTTTCAGGCAATGCATTCCAGATCCAAACAACTCGATGTGTGAATAAATTTCTCCTCACCTCGTTTCTTTTAAGAACTATTTTAAATCGGTGTCCTCAGGTTACAGACCCACCGAGCAGTGAAATTATTTTTTCCTTGTTCACCCTATCGAATCCCCTCATCATTTTGAAAACTTCCATTAAGTCTCTCTTAAACTTCTCTGCTTCAGGAATAATAATCCTAGCTTCTCTAGCCTCTCCTGATAATAGGTAAAGGTAGTCATTTCAGAACCGAGACAAGAAACATCCAAAACAGTGCATTGTAGGACAATCAGGCCAAACCTGCAAACCTCCTACAATCAGGCCAAACCTCTTCAACACCCACTTTTGGCATTCAGATGTTAACAATTCCCTTTTTGTATAAATTTAATGGACACAGCATATACAAAAAGACACTCAACAAAAAGAAAATCAGTGCACTTAATGCTTTTTGGGGTCATTTAATATAGATTAGGAGTTGGTGAAACAATAATTGCTTGAAGGTTACATGTTAAGGAAACAGGCAAGAAAAGCATTTTTTAATGACATATGCAATGTTTAATCAGCTGTGGTTTGTTTCTAAGTGGTTTCCTTTTGCTCAGATTTCTTTCAATCTTGCAGAACATTGAGAATTAGTTGAGGCATTACGGTTTGCAACGCTGAACGAAACGTGGGTACAAGACGACATCTCTGATATGGTGCCTGTTGAGAAGCCAAGTTAAGAAACGTTCCAGCCCCAATCCATATCCGCCATGTGGACACGTGCCATATTTACGCTGGGGAGGAAAGAATAAGTAAGTTACTGCGTGAGGATTTACAGAAATCTAACTGGCTGACCTAAATCTAAGTGGCTCTTTGATGAGAAACCCAGACACATTTCTTAAAGGAAAAGAAAATTGGGCTCTAACTTACCTGGTCAGTGTACCAGTAATATGGAGTGCAATCAATCCCTTCACGTTTGTAACCCTCCAACAGCTCATCACTGTCCCAGATACGCATCGATCCTCCCACAATCTCACCAACATTCGGCATCAGAACATCAACCTGGAAAACAGCTCAGATTATAACATCAGAAACCAAATTATTCCTTTAGTCCTGTCTACGAGGTTACAAACAAAAACTTCAGGTTTCACAACACACGCACGTTTGGTCTGTAACACAAAGATAGTTTCAATAACATTTTCTCTTAAACAAATCAAGTTACACAACGACAATTTACCGAAAATTTGCTCATCCTACTCTTGTCAGTCTCAGTCATTTCAAGAACTGTGGAAAACCTTCGTCCACACTAAAATTGAGTTCCAACTGATCTTAAACCTTAATAGCATAAAAGTAATGACCGTGAGGAATGCAGACGTCTGGAGTCTTTTCTGAGCTCTATTTTATGCAAGCGGCGTATTGGGGGTAATGAGATACCATCCACGTGCACAGCACAGTCTCCAAGACATGGACAAATCCAATATAAAGATTATTAAATTACAGGTTACAGTACAACAGCATCAATTACATGCAGCTGTGCAACAGTCAAAGCTGTCAGTTCACCTCATTTATATACAAGTCAGGGAGAGCAAGGATCTGAAGACAATACTAAGCTTGCTTTCCCTAGTCTAAATCAAAGCCCATTGGCAAACGGCACCAGGACACAGAATGTAGCCTGCACAGATCATTTGGTGATAAATAAAGTCTGATGATGGCTATAAATCTAAAAGCTCTTTGGAGGACTGCTTCATTTGGGCCAATTCACAGATGTGTTTGACTTCAACGAGCCGCCCACAATGGCTACACGTGCAACCTAGGCACTGACCGATTCAGTCAGCCTGCGATCCTCAGGGCAGCGCTCCATGTAGAAAGACTTGATCTCAGCAGGGAAGCGACACAGCAGAATTGGCTCGTTGATCGCGTCGGTCATCATTCTCTCCGGAGCCTCGGGAATATCCTGTGGGAGGAAAACATAACAGGTTGATTTTGTCCAGACACATGACTGTTAATAACTGGCCTCGATCACTTTCTCAAGTTCAATATTTACCCTCAAACACAGTCACTCAACTTTACAGTAAATCCTGTGAAGCACTTTGGGACTTTCATGACGTGAAAGGCACTGTACCAAATACACAGATTACCTTTCCAAACTCTGGATCAAAGCAACAAAGCTCTCTGCCACCTCAATAATTTAGCCCTTTAATAAACCAGGTGTCACCATACAAATGTGGCAAATAGGATACACAGCACAGATCATCACTGGTATTTCACATAGATTTAACAAGTGATAGGAATAAGTTTAGCAACATTTTAACAGCAACCCTACCTACAGCACCAAGCCAGCTCTTCAACTTGTTCAGTGCCCTGGCCTCAACCACTCTCCCGACAACCTGTCTGTCGGTCATCCCTTAGCCAAAGAAATTCTCCCCAGTTTCTGTGATAACATGTCCTTTAGAACTCTGGGAGTCTTGTCCTTTTGCCTTGACATTATTTAAAGCATTGTTCTGGATTTACTTTCTCCATGATACAGGCTATATACTTGCTAGTGATCATCCCATTGTTTGTTATTCTTGATACGGTAAGTTACAATGCTTGGCTGCTTCCTCCAAATCAATAGTAAGTATAGTTGCTATTAAGATTTTGCTGAACTTATTCTCATCACTTGTTGAATCTATATGAAACACCAGTGATGATCTGTGCTGAGTATCCTATTTACCACATCCTACGTCTCTCCCCCCTCCCCCCACCTTTGTAACTACACTGAGTAACCGAGCCATTAATAGGCAACACTAACAGATCACAGCATATAACTCAGAGGTGCCCACTGAATACCTCCCAGATTTGAACCTAACCTCCCATTACCACCACCCTAAGCTTCCACCCCCAGGAACAGTTACCAATTCACATTCACATCTTACCCTCAAAGACCACTGACAAGTATATTTCTATATCACTTTACCTCTAAATCTCTCTCCTGTCTCACACTGCTCCTCAACCAGAACACTCTTCCTCTATCCCTTGCTCCATCCTTCCCGATCTTCAGATCGCGCCTGAAGACCTTCCTCTTCGACCGTGCCTGCAGTCACCTTCCCCCCCACTCGGCATCATGCTCCGCCACTATCAAGGGCTCCGGGATGTTATAAAAATGCAACACTCACTTCTCCAAACTCGTAGAAAGTTCCATCTTCCTTTTTATAGTCGTGCTCTTTGAGCCAGGTGATGGCATCAGTGTAGTTCATCCTCCTGAACGGGCGCTTGGGCGGCTGAAATTCCTAAATTAAAAAAAACGCAAAAGAAGACATTAACACAGAGACATTCAAGCCAAGTAGCTTCTCCTGATTCTATTGATTTTATTTAGTGGTTATTTAGTTATTTAGTGGTATAAAAGCTGAACAAATGGCCAGGCTGATATCTTTACACTAAACAGAGAGAGGTTTTCCTGTCACTTACTGGATGCAATTCACGCACAAGATCTCCAAACGGTGACTTGAGAATACGGTCAACCACGTCACACACCAGATCTTCCAGACGGTTCAGAAGGTCATCGTAGGTAATAAAGGCACATTCTCCCTCAATGTGAGTGTACCTACAAGTTAGAGCACACATAATTGAAGGTGCTCTCACTGCAATTCTACTGCATTAGACTATGTGAATGGCTCCATCCATCATGTCATAAGTGGGGCTCAAAATTGAAACAGTCTTCATAATAATATGACAATCCTTGCATTTGATATAGCACCTGATCACGTCTTTGAGACGTCTCAAAGCTCTTCACATAATATACTGTAAAGTGAATTGACTGTATATTTTGTGTGCGATTCGCAGCAGCCAATTGCGTACAGCAGTGTCCACAAACAGTCATGGATTGAAGTGACCACTTTATTATTGTTTTATTTTTTGAAGGAATTACTATCCCTGGAAAAGCGATCCGCCAATCGACTAACAACCAGGTTCCTACTTACTCCTAGATAAACAGAATTGTGTGGAGTAAGGAAACTTGTCAATGATTCGCTCTGCCAGGAATCAAAACCAGGTCTCTTGCTT